AAAATTGGACACTGACGGAAACATGCAAGGCAGGTCTTGCTAACTTTGTGGTGACATAGCCTTCTCTTCCTTGAATATAAAAGTGTATTCTAAGGGAGCCAGCAGGTGGCATGTTGCGTATGGTGTGGACTCCCACATGGTTGGCCGTGGTTTACATTCTGGACCTGATGGCTTGAAAATCACAGGGTGTGTGTGCGTGCTTGCCCAAAAATCTCAGGAGGAGAACGGAGAGGAGAGGAAGGGATTGGGGTGTGGCCATGCCCTCTTGGGGTGGATTTCTCACTTTCCCTCTCTCTGTCTCTCTCCAGTGAGTATACATACCCTATGGCAAAAACCTTAAAAAAAAAAAGAGAGAGACCGGCAGGTGGCATGGTGGTTAAGGGCACTGGACTCCCATGTGGCTTGAGGTTTGAGTCTGTGGTTTGAGTCCAGGACTTGATAACTTGCTTTCTCACTCCCCAGCCTCCCCTCCTATACCCCCCATCTCTCTCTCTTGCTCTGTCCCTTTCTGGTCAAAATAAAAATAAATAAATAAATACAGTTTAAAAATATGTATGTAAGATAAGTTAAAAATATAAATGCACAGGGAGCAAAATACACTTGAATGTGTGCAGAGGGCAGACAATGAGAAAGGCCAGGCTGCCTGTTCTCTCTCTAGGCACAACGGTCTGAGCGCGTTGGGGCTCCGTGCCAGACACGGGAAACACAAGTGGAGTACACACGAGGAAGTGTCCTGCAAACACGTGTCAACACATGGCAATATTTCAAAACACAAGGACCACTAGAAAAGAGAATTAATCTTGATCTTTATGTTTTCCATTTTTAAAAGTAACACTTTCTTATTTTGGAAAAAAAATATTATTGAAATACAGGAAGCAGAAAGTCCACATACTCGTCCACCTGCCTCAACCATTTCCCATATGCTGGGGTGTGTGTGTGTGTGTGTGTGTGTTTGTTTGGTTTGTATTCTTCTGGATATTTTCTGTAAAAGTGTCTAGTATGTAAACATTTCTATCTATTTTCTATCTGTACCACTATTTCTCTATCTATGTGTCAAAGAAACATAGGAAATATTGTTGAACAGTTGATATTAATGTCAAAACCAAATGTCGGATGCTAAGGGCATGTGTGGAAGACACCAGCCAGCTAACTAGAGGCCTTGGTAACAAGTACTTCTAGGAAAGAAATTAAACATCTCTTGAGAAAAATCTTTATTATTAGCATTGTCATTGGTATGCACTATTTTAAACTTTATCAAGTACTTTCATGATATCATTCCATTTGAGACATAATAAACTTTGAGGTAGGCTAGGTAAAAATGATTATTCTTGTTCACCAATGAGGAAACCGATGTCTCAAATGCTGAGAAGATATGCACAAGGTCACTGCAAATCCTTGTTCTTACCATGTCAAGATACTGGTATCGAGGGACCCGCAGTTAGCATAATGGCTATGTTGCTGGACTCCCATGTAGTCGACTGCGGTTCAAGTCCCGGATCCGATGGCTTAAACTCATGCTGGGCATGTGTGCATGTGTGCCCAGGATCCTGAGAGGAGAAGGAGGAGAAGGGATTGTGGCGTGGCCATCCCCCCTGGGGGGTGATTTCTCACTTTCTGTCTCTCTGTCTCTCTGTCTCTCTCCATCTTTCCGGCGAGCGCATGCGGTCAAGATACTGGTATCGAGGGACCCGCAGTTAGCATAATGGCTATGTTGCTGGACTCCCATGTAGTCGACTGCGGTTCAAGTCCCGGATCCGATGGCTTAAACTCATGCTGGGCATGTGTGCATGTGTGCCCAGGATCCTGAGAGGAGAAGGAGGAGAAGGGATTGTGGCGTGGCCATCCCCCCTGGGGGGTGATTTCTCACTTTCTGTCTCTCTGTCTCTCTGTCTCTCTCCATCTTTCCGGCGAGCGCATGCGCCCTATAGCAAAAACTTCTCCCCAAAAAAGATACTGGTATCGAGATACTGGAAGAGGGAGAGTTAGTGGTATTTTATTTTACTGGACTGGAGATTATGGTGATCATCGTAACTTAAAACAATTTTTTTTGTCATGCCAAATTCAAACATGTATAAGCAAAAGAAATCCTCAAATGAACACTTATACCCATCATCCAACTTCCACAATCTCTTCATGTTTACTTGTTAAGACAGAAAGTCTAAAATATTGGTGGTCTTGTAACCAAATTTGGGATCATGGGGTATAATGTATCCAGTGTGCTTGGAATGTGGACAATGTATATTTTGTGTGAGTGCCCGGAAGAAGGAGCTGGAGGGAGACCAGAGCACCGGGTGATTGGATTAAATCTGTCGCTGTGATGGCTGCTCATTTAGTTCATCTTGCTGTTACTCGCACCATTGTGAATCCCAGCTACTCATTCCATAGGTGCTCTGAAGCTGTTGTTGAATGAGTAAACTTTATTTACAGTTTCGATCCCGGGGGCAGGAAGGAGCCAGGCACCAAGGCGTGACTAACCTTGCAGAGAGTGTGTTGACATGTATCCAGTGGGTGCTATATCTAGGAGCATGTGCTTAGTTGCTACTGGGTCCTGTTCTAGGTGTCTTTCACGCAGTGACTCATTTCATGCTTATAATCTCTCATGTGTTTTGTAGGTGAGTAACCCGTAGTTGCTCATGACCACACAGAGTGGGTGGCAGAGCTGGACTCAAATTCAGGCTGCAGCTCAGATTCCACGCACTGCCACCACTCTGCAGCTTCTCCTGGGAAGGTGTCTGAACCCCATCTATGGATCCTGAACACACTGGGGCACTTTGCTAGGCAGTAGCCATACCCATACTGCCAGGTGAACCCACAAAAATCAGTGCCTTGCAATGCAGAAGGGAGGGTGTTGCACATGCCCCCTCCCCCTTTTGAGTTTGCAATTTGTCAGTGACAGGAGGGCACTTCTGAGTACCATGTGGGAGGGAATGCGGTAGACTGATTGCATTGAGATCCTGCCAACTTCTGGCCCAGCGGCCATCAAAGACACACCGTTTCCTCTAAGACTTTTAAAGGGGGCCATTTCCACAGGCCTGCAGGCTCTGGTTTGCATTCAGAGGAGACACTATGTCCTTAAATGCAACATGGAAGAGGAAGGGCCGTGAACTGTAAATAAGGCTGAGAGAGAAAAACTGGAGATGGGGATGGAAAAAATTACTTTTTTCAAACTAGCTTCTACCACCCTCCCCTGTATCCAGCTCTGCCGGAGCTCATCCTGGTTTGTTTGCCAAGTTTACTAGCAGGAAGAGAGGAGCTTTTTCTTTTTCTTTTTTTTTTTTAGGACCCTTTCCTCTCTCCCACTGAAATACCTCCTGCTAGGTAGATATTAGGGCATCTCTACAGTGAACACCACACCCCCACGATAAAGAATGAGATGGAGCTTTAAATGTCGAAGCTGAATGATTGCCAAGGTGCATTTTAGAGTGAACAAAGCCAGGACTCAAATACTGTTTATACCCAGCTATCGTGCAAATAGGATGATGCTATAGCTATACCTACAGGTGCACAGAATTTATTTTAGGGGAAACAGAAAACATAGAAATGCTTGCTGTCGCCAAAGGAGGGTCTTTGCACTCTAAATGTTTTTGTATGCTCGCCCCCAAATGTAACCATACGTTGTACATTCTTTCTATTTCAGAGTTCATGACTTCAACCGTCCACTTGGAAAACTAGGACGACACAAGTAAATCCTTTAAAAATAAAGAAAAGCAACACTTTGTATCAGTTGTGCACGATGAATCTAGTTTGAATTCGATTGGAAAGAACAGTTCTGACTCTTCATCTTGCTGAGGGATGGTCCTTTAAATGGTTATTAAGCACCAGGAGGCACTGGGGAAGTTGGATTCCAACTTAGTAAGGATAGGGGACACTTGATGTCACTTCCCAGGTATGGGATGAAATGCAGAGAACATAAGGAACGAACGTGGTCAGAGATGAATTAGAGTTCCCCTCCAAACAGCCCCCCAGAAAGCCTGCAGGCACCGAGCAAGCCGGCGGTCACAGCGTCCGGGTGCCAGAGCGTGAGAGCTTTCACTTCGCCGCTCTCCCAGCGAAGTCCACCTGCGTCTGTCTCCCCGCTCCCCGGGCCTACCGATCTTGACTGGAAACTGCTCTGTGAGGGGGCCTGGCCAATGTCACACTAAGGGCTCCTTGTCGGGGAACACCGTGGACAAAAGCCCCTTTTCAAGGAAAGCTTCCTAGGAGGGACGGGTGACCTCCACGGAGCGGGTACGCTTGAGCTCCGGCGTCTCCACTCTCCGCAGCTTTGCTGTAGGCTTTTGGTCAGGGCCAAGCATGATCCCCAAACTTCAATGCTTTCTGGGGCGAGGAAGGTAACTTCAGAGAATCTGAAGTCGCCAGATAGCAGAGGCTAAGGATGAGAATGCTGGCGAACTGGGCCAGCGTCTTCCCTGATGAAAGGCGTTCGGACTGGAACCGTTAAACTCCAATTGCGCTGGCCCCAAAGTGCTCTGCATCAAGACTCAAATGCAGAAACCCAAACACCGGCTGGCGTCACGGCCGTTTGGCGACCCCGCGCAGGGCTCTGCAGAGTATACGCTTCTCGCTCGCCGCTCCAACCCGCCAGGGGGGCCGGGACCATAGGAGAAGCGCGCGCGGCGGGCCCCGCGATTGGATGCGCCTGGCGAGGGCGCAGTGACGCTCGCCGCGCTCCGGGTGATGCTCCCCGAATCTCCGCGGCCAGCAACAGAGTGCCCCTTCGGGTGGCTCGGAGCCCGAAACGGGCTACCTTTTATTCCCACCAGAAACAGACTTGCAGTCCTGGGATGTTCTCCCCGGGACCACTCGGGGCCGCACGCCGTCCGGGGCAGGTGAAGAGCCAGGAAGATGGACTTAGCGTTGGGGACCCTGGTTCGAGGGCCGGTACCCGGGGAAGGGGCGGGGCCAGCCGCACAGGAAAGCCCGGGCGCGGCCCCGCCCCTCGTGGCCCTGCCCCCGCGCTCTAGAGTTTTGGCCCTGGCTCCCACCCGGCACTGAGTCCCGGGACCCCGGGAGAGCAGGCGGTGCTGTCGCCGCATTTTCTCTGCGTGCGCGGGGCATCACGTGCGCGCTACAGAGCGCAGTCCGCAGCCGGGATATCCGCCCTACTGGTCCCCGCAGACGCCCCTGCAGCTGCAGCCGGAGCCAGGCACCCCCTGCCCTGCGCGCTCCAGGGTCCTGCGCCGCGGACGGCGTCCCGCCTCCGTGCCTCCTTCGCGGGGCAGGCGCTGGGAGAAGGGACGGGGCCAGAAATCTGGGCACTGAACTTGGCTCGGGGTGCAGGATGGACAGCAGGGCCCTGCTGGCCATCGCTCTGTGGCTCTGCGTGGAGACCCGGGCCGCCACTGTGGGTAAGGAGCCCACTCCCCAGAAGGACAGCGGAGAGCGGTCGGGTGCGGGTGGAGAGGATCGGAGGTCCGACCTAACTGGGAATCCCGGGCCTGGCGAGTTGCAAGGGACTTGACACTTTGCGTTCTTTTATTTGCTAGTGGGGAAACTGAGGCTCAGAGACCTGCCCGAGATTACCCAGCGATCCGGTGGTCTCCTGATCTGTAGCCCGAATCCGTTTCCAGGACTCTGGTCTCCAACAGGGCGCTCCGGCTCTTGGGAGGCGGGGATGGGAAGACGTCCGGGCTGGCGGGCAGGAGGTGCCCCCCGCAGGCGAGAACAGACAGTGAAACCTCGGCTGCGCGCAGCACCCTAGCCCTGCACGGAGAGGGAAGCCTTGCAGGGAGCCCTGTCCCCGCGGCCGGGATCGCGCACCGCGCACCCCGCTCTGCCTCTGTGAGAGCCAAGCTGGACCCCAGCCTGCTCTTTCCTTTCGGACGAACGCACATGCACACAAAGTGATAAGGTGGGGTTCCGGAGAGGACCCCCCTCTCCTTCCTTACTGCGAGTCGCAGGAGGGGAAATTGGGGATTGTCTCCAGGGCAGTGACAGCTTTTCCAAGTGTCTCCAAGTCACCGTCAACTTCCTGTGTAGAACAATTTAACATCTTTCAAAGCGCTTGGGGTCTTGGTGGTAAACCTGTAGCCTGGAAGTTCAAGGTCTGAAAACCTACTCTGTGCAACTGGAGACTAGGGGTAGGGCCACTCCCACTCTCTGGCCACCTGAAGTTCCCTCTCCTTCAGGGTTAGGGACACATGTGAGCCCAATGCTGTGGCTCTCCATCCTTTTTTGTCTCTTATTTTTCCTTTTGTTTCCTCTTTTCTTTCTTTCTCTTCCTCCCTTCCCTCTCTCCCTTTCCCCTCTCTTCTTTGCCTTTTCTTTCCTTCTTTCTCCTTTCGGTGTTTCTCCCTTCTTTCTCTTTCCTTCCCCCCTCTCTCCCTCTCTCTCCTCCCTTTCTTCTTAGATAACATCTCTTTTCTGTAGGCAGAGTTTGCTGATTTCCATCTTTGGAGAGTGAGACAAGGGAGAGGGTCACACAGTGCAAGCAATAACCAAACAGGCTCGCAGGAGGGGAAATTGGGGATTGTCTCCAGGGCAGTGACAGCTTTTCCAAGTGTCTCCAAGTCACCGTCAACTTCCTGTGTAGAACAATTTAACATCTTTCAAAGCGCTTGGGGTCTTGGTGGTAAACCTGTAGCCTGGAAGTTCAAGGTCTGAAAACCTACTCTGTGCAACTGGAGACTAGGGGTAGGGCCACTCCCACTCTCTGGCCACCTGAAGTTCCCTCTCCTTCAGGGTTAGGGACACATGTGAGCCCAATGCTGTGGCTCTCCATCCTTTTTTGTCTCTTATTTTTCCTTTTGTTTCCTCTTTTCTTTCTTTCTCTTCCTCCCTTCCCTCTCTCCCTTTCCCCTCTCTTCTTTGCCTTTTCTTTCCTTCTTTCTCCTTTCGGTGTTTCTCCCTTCTTTCTCTTTCCTTCCCCCCTCTCTCCCTCTCTCTCCTCCCTTTCTTCTTAGATAACATCTCTTTTCTGTAGGCAGAGTTTGCTGATTTCCATCTTTGGAGATTGAGACAAGGGAGAGGGTCACACAGTGCAAGCAATAACCAAACAGGCAGATAATTCGGAAAGGAAAGACGCTTACATGGAAAGAAAAGAATAGCGTGTCTTAAAAGACACTTGTGCTCGCACCCGGCCCAAGAGCATCTGTCTACGGTTATTGAATTTTCCTCATAATGACTCGGATCATCAGGCCTGGCCCCACCATGGACAGTCGTTTGTCCCTGACAAGGTCTCTTCTCTCTTGCCCTTCACGGGAAGAGAAAGAAAGTCTGGAACAGTGTTGGTTCTGCACCCCACAATGAAGTGAGTTGCTTTTCAGCCTGGGGTGTTTCTCAGCACACAGTGGTCACAGGCCTGCCCTGAACCTGATGCGACGTTGCCCTTTGGAGTGTGTGACTCGCTTAATTGGATTGGGCTATTCTTGGTGCCATCAAATTCTGGAAACAAAGGCACTGTTGTTTCTCCATCTTGTCTTTGAGTTGGAAGGGTAGCAGCGCCCAAATTAATTAATATTGGTTATGGGATTTGAACATAGAAGGGCTTTTTATTGAGTCGGAGCATATGCACCTCCTACAGCTATTTCTTCAGACTTTCTGAAGAGCAGAACTCAGACTTGCCAGGGAAGATGAATGAAGCTTAATGGAGCAGAAAATTTTTTAAAAAATTGAGTGTTGGTCGACAGATATGAATTTGAAGTTATTATTGATAGTCTTGTCAAATAGATTTTTGTTGTAGACATGAGTCTAGATTAGTATAGTGTTGTCTTGGCTTCCCATGAATGGAGAACTTATCTTTTAAAAGAAATTATATAGGAAAGTATGTCTAGAGTGTGAGATGATCTGTAGCAAAAATTTATGAGAGATCTTTGGGGACCAGCAAAGTGGCATGGTGGTTAAGGCACTGGACTACCAAAAGAGAAAGAAAGTCTGGAACAGTGTTGGTTCTGCACCCCACAATGAAGTGAGTTGCTTTTCAGCCTGGGGTGTTTCTCAGCACACAGTGGTCACAGGCCTGCCCTGAACCTGATGCGACGTTGCCCTTTGGAGTGTGTGACTCGCTTAATTGGATTGGGCTATTCTTGGTGCCATCAAATTCTGGAAACAAAGGCACTGTTGTTTCTCCATCTTGTCTTTGAGTTGGAAGGGTAGCAGCGCCCAAATTAATTAATATTGGTTATGGGATTTGAACATAGAAGGGCTTTTTATTGAGTCGGAGCATATGCACCTCCTACAGCTATTTCTTCAGACTTTCTGAAGAGCAGAACTCAGACTTGCCAGGGAAGATGAATGAAGCTTAATGGAGCAGAAAATTTTTTAAAAAATTGAGTGTTGGTCGACAGATATGAATTTGAAGTTATTATTGATAGTCTTGTCAAATAGATTTTTGTTGTAGACATGAGTCTAGATTAGTATAGTGTTGTCTTGGCTTCCCATGAATGGAGAACTTATCTTTTAAAAGAAATTATATAGGAAAGTATGTCTAGAGTGTGAGATGATCTGTAGCAAAAATTTATGAGAGATCTTTGGGGACCAGCAAAGTGGCATGGTGGTTAAGGCACTGGACTACCAAAACATGGCCGACCGTGGTTTGAGTCCCAGGCTGGGCAGCTTGTTTTCTCACTTTTCCCCTCTCTTTCTATGTCTCTCTTTGGTGAGCACGTATGTCCTATAGCAAATTAAAATAGTAAAAAAAATTTAAGAAGTTATGAGAGATTTTTAAGAGTGCCTTATCTGGGGACAGGGTGAGCCTAGCTTGTTGAGAACCTACTCATTTTACTGCCGTTTTTGGGGAATGCACTCAAATGATGGATTCCCTCTCATTTGAACCCCTAGGAGAGTTGTGCTCTATTACTGTTTCACTGTGTTTCTCAACCTAGTGTGTTCCCATTCAAATTTGAAATCTGTACTCATCGAAGTGATTGTTTTCATTTTCCTTTTCCTAGGCAAGTGGGACTCCATTATTGAAAAGCTTTTCTTTTGCTTTTAAACATTTTGATTTATTGTTCACCAACTTTGGAGTTAATTCCTCCATATTGAAAAGTGTTAGTGTAAGTAACTGAACGTGACTACCCAGACCAGCAGCTTTCCAAGAGTGACCATAGACCCTCGGTGATAGGGTCACCTGAAGTGCTTGCTAAAACGTACATTTGTAGGCCTAGGGATATTCTGATGTTCTGACATGGCTTAACGTTGAAGAACCGCTGCCTGAAACTCGGTATGTCAGTGCCAATGCCAATTGGTTTCTGAGATGTATTCATGTAACTTCATTTCCAGTTTTTAAAACTATGTTCTTAAAACTAATTATGTATTCAATTTTATTTACGATTGTTATTTAATTTTCCATAGGGTACGCATGCTCACCAGAGAGAGAGAGGGAAAGTGAGAAAGCAAGTCTCCAGGTTTGGGACTTGAACTGTGGTCGGCCATGTGAAAGTCTAGCACCTTAATTACCATGCCACCTGCTGGCCCCTAAACTGTGTTTGTGATCATCCAATCTATAGTTATTGAGTGACTCATTTTCTGTGTCTGCGTGGGTGTGTGAGGACATGTGCAATCAGTCGATGGTTTTGCCTGCAGTCGTTCCTGTTGTGGTCTACAGATTCAGTGTACTGGATGTTTGTACTGGATTGCTGCTTGTCCTCTCTTTATACTGTTTCATACTTACGTGCCCAACAAGGCCAATGCCAATTTAGGTCTAAACAGTTATTTGCTCTTAGTTGATATGAGTTAGAAAGTGTGGGCACTTGCATGATGGAATTTTTCTTTCTCTGACACTTTGTCAACACCTGTTGTTCCTCACGTTAGGTTGGCAGAGAACTCAGTTATCTTGTGGTGTGAGTCATGGTGAGGACTTCATCCCATGGTATTTTTCTGACTCTTAAGTCTTTAGGTGAAGACTGGTTTCTTGGTTTCTAAGATGGTGTCAGGGTGAGCTCGGAGCTTTGATTAATAAATCGAGATTCCCCAGTTGTGATTCATTATCTCTGAGGTGCACTGTCTGTGTGATACTAGAAAATATTTTCTCTTCTTCAATTCCTCTCCTCTGTTTTTGTTTTGGTAGAAGTTTTTGCCTTAGGGTACGTGCACTCACTGAGAAAGAGAGACAGTGGCCATGCTGCAATCCCTTCTCCTCCTGGGATCTTGGGCATGCACACATACATGCCTGGCTCGAGTTTCAAACTATTGGTTCCAGTACTTGAACCTGGGTCAGCCATGTGGGAGTCTAGTTACGTAACCGCTATGCCATCCGCTGGCCCCTCTCCTCCAGTTTTAATGTGCAACCATTGGGAACCATTATTTCAACCTCAGCATTTCAGTTAGCAGAGGAAGTGCACTAGAAAATTGAAAAAGGAAAACGAGAGAAGATCCTATATGCTCTCACCCCCTTCAGGGCTCCTAGATGAAGTATATGGAAATCTCTCTGAGTAGTATTCATTAATCAGCAGTTCAGTCAAATGTGTGCATCCTATGTTTTATAAGAAATGTCAGAGGGTCGTTTCCCAAGGGAGTGAGATCACCAGATGAAGGTTCATTTGCTTTCAATGTCCCATATCCTTTTGTAAGACCTTGAAGTTGGCAATGCAGGAAAACAGGAACTCCACCCCAGCTCCGTGAGTTGTAGAACTGTTGTGTGGGTTTATGACCATCTGCCCATTCTTCCTGTTATGACACAGCCTGCAAACTTTTACTGGGAATGGTGAAAAGTCAATCCCCAGTTTTAGATTGTACAATGAATTGCTGAAGAGGCCTTTTCCAGTGTAGTGTGTGCATTGTTTGTGGAAGGTGTTTCCTCGTGGGTCGAACTCAGTGGCAACCACATTAATTGATTTCATTTGTTTGTAGGTTTGCCTAATGTTTCTCTGGATCCACCCAGACTCAGCACACAAAAAGACATACTGACAATCATGGCCAATACGACGCTTCAGATTACTTGCAGGTAAGGATTCATTTTAGATTCAGATTCTTGTGTTAAAGGACTCCCATGTTAAATGAGTCCCTATTTATTGAGGGAAGATGATTTTCACCATAGCAGAATTATAATGCAGTGGTAGTAATTCTTCATAAGTAATGACTCATTTCTAAGAAATGATATAATATTAAAAAAAATGAGAAAGGTCTTCTCCTGAAGATTTTGCAAATTTTGTTGATTTTTTTTTTTTTTTACTGCTCTATTCTCTGACATGCACACACCCCCAAACCAGTGTAACACCTGGAACATAGCAGACATTCAATAAATATTGAATGAATACATGAGCCAAAGACATATCCTTAAGGAACAGAGTTGCATAAATAGTTTTGAGCCAGATCTGTTATACTCGGAATAGTTCTTAGACACCTTTTTAATTTTTTTTTTTTAACATTCTTTCAGTAGTAGGAGTTTGATTTTTGCTGTTGTTGTTGTTATAGGGCATGTGTATTCATCAGAGAGAGACAGAGATAGAGAGAGCGAGAGGAAAAGTGAGAAATTACCCCTTCTGGGGGAAGGGTCACGCTGCAGTCCTTTCTCCTCCATTCTCTTCAGGATTTTGGGCACACGAGCACATGTGCTCGGTGTGATTTTTAAGCTGCCAGGTCCAGGACTCGAACCACACAGCTGGTCATTTGGAATCCAGTGCCTTCACCTCCATGCCACCTGCTGGCCCCAGAAACAATGAACTTTTTGCCAATAACATTACGAAGCACATGTTCTGCCCAGGTAGTGAACTTGACACTCGCACGTGGTTCTCTGGAATGCCTTTCTTCCCCCTGGCTAGCAAGGAGTGGTTGATTTTTGATCATGGAGGAGACACTTCTTTGCCAAGTAGAGAAGAACTTTCCTGTCCCTACCCCAGGTTGCAGGCTTTAATGTAGTGGTCACGTGTGAGAAACTGGCATGTTTCGGTGGCCAGGGTGAGGCATGGAGGTGTTGTTGCTCTCCGGGAAGCGTGCTGAGGTCCACAAAGAGCCTGGGACAGCTTCCTGCCTTTGCATCACACTTAATGAATGCCAATTGTTCCACAGAATGGCTCGGCTCTGTTTCAGAGTGGGAGGGTATCATCTACCCCAGTCCTCTTATCAAGGGCAGGTCTCCCACATCCAGCCGGGAGGACAAGCACAATAGCAAGTGTTGTTTCTCTAGTTGGGCTAGTTCAAGACACACTTCCCAGTAGGTTTTCTTCTTGCCTACCCTAAAAAAAAAAAAGAAAAAAAAAAGGTTATTTAAAATGCCCAGAGATTCCTCACTCCTTTTTCAAACTCTGCATACACATTTCTTCTAGAAAGGGCATGGAGTGTGTTCAAAGTAATGTCACTGCAACCTCATGGAGATTTCAGGTGTTTTGAGTGAAGGCCAATACGATCACATCCTCCCTGGGGTGCACCGTTTTCCTAGCGGTCTCCAGGAGGAACGGTGTGGTAGAAGCCATCTATGTTTCAGCGCAGTTCTGACGAGATTCTCTGAGGCTCTTTGTTCCACCTCCTGTCTCCCTGTCTCCGCCTTTTACTCCCCAGATGCCCTCTCTGAGCTGGCGCCAGGGCTGCCTTGCTCCTCCTAATCCTGTAGATACGCCCCTAGTAGTGTGTCCGGCTCAGGGCCATTACTGTCAGCATTCCCTCTGCCTGCGGTTCTGTTCCTCCTGACAGTCGATGGCTAGCTCCATCAAGCCCCCTCCCTCTAGAACTTTCCACCCACTTTTTCGCACCTTCTATTAGGGCATCAGGGAAGTCATGACATATTTTTCTATGCAAAAATTACGTCATAACTTTCCAGACAAGCCAATATGTTTCTGGCTGTAGTATGAATTGCCACTTTCTATATAATACATTTTATTTACTTTCAAATGGCTGTCTCCTCCAATTAGAATGAGGTTTAATAAAGGCACCCATTTTGTTTGATTTGTTCACTGCTGTTCCCTAGTTCTTAGCAATGTGTGGTACATGGTAGATGTTCAATAAATATTTGCAGAATGAATGAATGTGTGAATTAATAGAAACCGAAAGAATCTAAGTGACTTTTGAAGCAGAGTCTATGGCTTTGTGTCATGTAGATACAACCTGTCATCCTTGGTAGAAGACTTTGAATCTGTCTGGTGGGTTTATTTAAGTCTGAGAACCAGCCCTGTTTTCTTAGAAACAGCCTTGTGTTAAAAGTTTGCTTCAGGACCAGCAGTTGGCATAATGGTTATGTTGCTGGACTCCCATGTAGTCGACCGCGGTTCGCGTCCCGGACTTGGTGGCTTAAACTCATGCCAGGCATGTGTGCATGCATGCCCAAGATCCCGAGAGGAGAATGGAGGAGAAGGGATTGCGGTGTGGCCATCCCCCCTGGGGGGTGATTTCTCGCTTTCTATCTCTTGGTCTCTCTCTGTTTGTCTGGCGAACGCACATGCCCTATAGCAAAAACCTCTCCAAAAAAAGAAAAAAGTAGTTTACATTAATACTTACCTGGAATTAATTAATGTTCCAGAGGACAGAGGGACTTGGACTGGCTTTGGCCCAACAACCAGAGTGGCTCTGAGGAAAGGGTGGAGGTGACTGAGTGCAGCGATGCCTTCTTCTGTAAGACACTCACAATTCCGAAAGTGATGGGAAATGATACTGGAGCCTACAAGTGCCTCTACCGGGACGTGGACATGGCTGCCATTGTTTACGTCTACGTTCAAGGTAAGTGGTGAGAGAGAATTCATGTCCCACACCGATTTACCAGTTGTAAAACAATGGGTGTGAAGCATGAGTCCAACAAAAGGCTTGCTGTCAAGTCTGTTTGCCAAGCAGAATACATCAAACGCTTCTCTCCTGAGGCTTCCTCCGAGAGGTCAGACTTGCCGATGGGTTCTGGAGCTCAGGCCCCGTTACGTCTCTTGCCCAATTAGTTTGGGTTTGCTCTTTGTTCCTAAGGTACACTTGTGTTCACCACTGGCTGTGGAGACTCCTAAAAAGCCTTCTGATATTTTTTCAGGGGAAAAAAAACCCCTGAAATCTTTGAAATCAAGAAGATTGAGAGGCGAATTATGGAGAGGTTTCTGTGGTGAGATAGGTTATCTGCAGCAGAGTGGGAGATTATCCTGAGAATGCGTAAGGAAACAGCTAAGGTCTCTGGAATGTTTTCGTCCATAGGAATTTTTCTTGTCCTATTTATACTTTATTAAAAATTTCATTCCCATACTCGTGCAAATAAAGGCACTGCTTATAAGGACCCTTTAAGGATAGTTTTTCACTCTTTTGCTTGTGTGGTCTCATGGGGTTTGCAATCTGGGCTTGATACCAGGGAAGCCAGTTTACATCCCGGTAGTGTAAAATATAGTGTTCCATGTATTCAGCATTTATAATAGCAGTTATGTTTTCTTTCTTTCTTTCTTTTTTTTTGTTTGGAGAGGTTTTTGCCATAGGGTACATGTACTCGCCAGAAAGACAGAGAGAGACAGAGAGATAGAAAGTGAGAAATCAACCCCCGGGAGGATGGCCACACCACAATCCCTTCTCCTCCACTGTCCTCTCGGGATCTTGGGCACACATGCACATGCACCCGGTGTGAGTTTTAAGCCACCGGGTCTGGGATGTAAACTGTGGTCGACTACATGGGAGTCCAGCGACATAGCCATTACGCTAACTGCTGGTCCCTCTTTTTGTTTTTTAAAATCTTATTTCACCTTAATTTTTCTGTAAAAACCTGACCTAACTATGAGGTACTTATACTTTTGGGGAATGGAAATGTCGTATCATAATTTACTGGGATAGAATAAATAGTTTTATTTGATTTTTATTCTTTGTCAGTGAAGATTAACTTTCAAAGGCATTTTATTGGGTCGTCAGAAAAGTCATGACGTATCTCTTCTATGTTTTTCTATGCAAAAATGTGTCATGGCTTTTCTGATGACTCAGGAGTTATCCATTTCTATGTCTCTGCATCCCAGAGGACTTGAGGCGGGGGAAGAGGACTTAGGTTTTTTTTTTCTTTTTTTCCCAGAAGCAACTTTTACAGGACAGGAATGTCATCAGCTTTGGGCAACACACAGGTCCTCACTTACATGTGAATAGCGCCCTGTGGTCGGTGTGATGGAACAGGGGAGACCACATGAGAATAACCTCTGTCACTCCTGGGTCTCACGATATTTGACTGAGTTTTGCTCTGGCTAAGCAAGTCCCAGCTAGACTTCTGTACCCTCCTCCTCCCCTCGGCAGGATTTGAAAGAAACGAGGCTCAGATTGTGGAGAATTTCTGGCTCCTTTTGATCTGGCAGTCCTGGGAGATGAGGCTCTCAGAAGATTGCAAGGATTTCCTGCTCTCAGCCTGTCTGGAAATACTGCAAGACATGCCTCTCCCATAATATCTTATTATTTCCTTCTCCCCCAGTCAGGAAACTTGGAGGCATGTGAAAATTCATTTCATAAGTTACAGTAAATATTTTATTTTGAGAGGATGGGTGGTTGTTTGCGTTTCTTCTGTTTACTTCCTTTTTTGGGGGGGATACTGAAATAGAATTGATGTACTAAATAGCTTTCGTCTTACGTCAAAGGGTTAATTTAGCCTCCAAAGGCTTTCTCTGTATTCAAGTTCTTTAGCATTTCATAACATATGGATGAGAGGTGGGCACTTTTTTTTTTTTGGAGAGGTTTTTGGTATACGGCGCGTGTGCTCACCAGAAAGACAGAGAGAGAGACAAGAGAGAAAGAAAGCGAGAAATCACCCCTCAGGGGGATGGCCACGCCACAATCCCTTCTCCTCCGTTCTCCTCTAGGGATCTTGGGCACGCACGCACACGTGCCCAGTGTGAGTTTAAGCCACTGGGTCCGGGCCTCGAACCACAGTCAACTACATGGGAGTCCAGCGACAGAGCCATTACGCTAACTGCTGGTTCTGAGGCGGGCACTATTAAGAAACAGCAATCCCCGTTTGTATCCTACCCGCCTTTGCGTATTACCATTCAATTCTGCTTCCTGCCTAAGCCTCACGTTTTAGGAGTTGAGCTGTCCAAAATGTTGGTCAGAAGTTTAACAATGGAAAAGAAAACATTGAAGTATTCCCTATGGACAGGTCTTTCATGTTCCCCTTTGTCCCCACCTTACTTCCTGTCTTCTGACCCCATTCCCTTCAGCAATGGATGGAGCCAGGAAGTGGGCCCTGGCCTCAGAAGATAATGGCTATGGCATGTGGGGGGCTAGATTGGTGCCTGCTTTTCTGTGCTTTCCAGCTGGGAAGGAAGTCCAGCTTCTGCTGTTGCAGAGAATTAGCTGCCCCTCTCCCCTTTGGTTTAATTAACTCTTTCTTCACTTGAACCGGCCATCACGAAGTGCCCTGAAAAATGTTTGAGCAGGTGTGTTGGGCCCAGCTATATAAAATGTTTCTCTCTGAAATTTCAAACATGGATGCATACCATATCATCTCTGTCTCTGGGAATGGAGCAGAGATATCAACATCGTGTGAGTATTGTTTGAATGACATTAAAATCCTCTAGTTTTCTTCTCAGTCTTTGGCATGGTGGCTTTCAAATTTTTGTTATTGGAGTTTTTTTCATTTTAAATTTTATTGAAGTTTTTGCCATAGGGCTTGCTGGAGAGAGACAGAGGGACAGTGAGAAATCACCCCCTGGGGGTGATGGCCACATCTCCATCCCCCTCTTGGGATTATGGGCACACGTACTCACATGCCTGGCCTGATTTTCAAGCCACCGAGTCTGGGAATCAAACTGTGGTTGACTATTTGGGAGTCCAGCACTTTAACCATCACACCGCCTGCTGACTTCATCATTGAAAATATTAATGACTACTGCATTTTAAACTAAGTGCAGTAACTATTAAACATTATTTTATGAAGAATTGTATCTCTAGTTTTGTCATCTTAAAATGCTCACTTAAAACATTGTCTTGAGTAAGTGAGTTCAAAAATTGTTACTTATTCCTGTTAATGTTGAAGATTCTTTGGGATCCATTAATTTAGTTTCATGGCATTTATATTATTATCTAAAGAGAGAGAACATATTTCTTGTGTATCAGTAAAACTTGTGTATATTTCTAATGTACAGTATACATAGTGTTCAGATTATCTTTAAGTTTTAAAGTAAATATGATCTTTCATTTTGAAGATGAATACAATGATTAGTCTGTTAAAATATGGAATCTATAAAATATATTCTACTTGTTGGAAAACCTTGTGAACAGTGCCAATCTCAATTAAGAGTTTCTTTCAGGACCAGCAGATGGCATAATGGCTACATCTTTGAACTTCCATGTAGTCGACCGTGGTTCAAGTCTCAGACCCAGTGGCTTAAACTCACACCGGGTGTGTGTGTGTGTATGCCCAAGATCTCTAGAGGAAAATGGAGAAGAGATTGCGGTGTCGCCATCCTCCCTGGGGGGGAGTGTGATTTCTCACTTTTTGTCTGTCTCTCTCTCTCTCTGTGTCTTTCTGGTGAGTGCACGCGCCCTATAGCTAAAACCTCTCTTAAAAAAACAAAAACAAAAACAAAACCACAACAGTTTCTTTCAAATTTTCCATGTGTACACATGTGCATACGAGACCCCACGTGTCGCATATCCTAGGAATCAGAAAGCCACCAGCAAGCAAGACTGTGGATGCCCTTGGCCTGTGCAAGGCGTCATTTCCGGTTATGCACTTCTCTGGTTAGAGTTTACAGCATAAACAATGACCAACTTTTCTAGAAAATACCACCAACATGCTAATAAGACTAAATTTCTTTTTCTAGATTACCGCTCTCCATTTATTGCTTCTGTAAGCGACCAACATGGAGTTGTGTACATCACTGAAAACAAAAACAAAACTGTGGTGATTCCATGTCTTGGGTCCGTTTCAAACCTCAACGTGTCCCTTTGTGCAGTAAGTTACGCCTTCCGTAGTCATCGCTTAAGTTTTCCTAGCAGGCTAATGTGGAGATGGGGAGCCTGTGTGTAATACACTCCCCACAGTGAGTTTTAAAGATCCTTCAGGAAGGGTCAAATGGCAATGAATGAAACCCAGTTTGTATTCTAGAGATAAGACGAACTCTTTAGAGATCATCATACATGGCTTTCTCTTTTGGAAAGCACTGGATTACAGTTTGTATTCTAGAGATAAGACGAACTCTTTAGAGATCATCATACATGGCTTTCACTTTTGGAAAGCACTGGATTACATATTTGCTATTTCTTTTTATTACTCAGAGATATCCAGAAAAGAGGTTTGTTCCTGATGGCAACAGAATTTCCTGGGACAGTCAGGAAGGCTTTTCTATTCCCAGCTACATGATCAGCTATGCTGGCATGGTCTTCTGTGAAGCAAAAATTAACGATGAAACTTACCAGTCTATTATGTACATAGTGGTGGTTGTAGGTAAGAGGACGATTTCTTTCCATATCATTCATATCAGACAATAAAAAGTGGTTCCCCCTGGAGAGTGTTAAATTTCCGGAGATTAAGATATAGGGAGAGGATGAAGGGAAATTGAAGAATGTGTTAACTCAGGGTCTGGCTTTGGGTAATTCATCAGGTCAACTCTTCTCTACTGAAATAAGGCCGTGTGCAATTGAGGTTTTCCCCCTTTTTTGCCAAGACCAAGGATGAAAAAAATAATTTGATTCAAGGAGCATGTTTATGAAAAGTCAGTGTTCAGAGCATTGCTTGGTATCTGTTCTTTCAGTTATATCTATTTTATGGAGAGCTCAGCAATTTGATAATGCTGACCCCAGTGGCCTAGGGCTACTAACCACGTGACATTTTACTGCTCATCTGTTCTGTGAGGTCCCTGGAGATTGTGCTTTGTCAATCTCTATAGGTCCGATGTGACCCATTTTCAAGTTGCATCACTTTTGAACAAATTCGTGCCATGTTATGGGTTTGTTTTCCATCTCACTTTCTGTGTTTTTAATCTACTTACTCCAGGTTACAAGATCTATGATGTGGTGTTGAGCCCTCCTCATGGAGTCGAGCTAGCTGTGGGAGAGAAGCTTGTCTTAAACTGTACGGCTAGAACTGAACTGAATGTGGGGATCGACTTCGACTGGGAATCCCCGTCATTGAAGGTGCCCTAACAGTTCAAAGCCAGACTTGTAAATACTTTAGTAATAAGTCTCAATGAAGCTAGCTTGAGAGATAGGGGTCTCTCTGGCCATAACACACACACACACAACACACACACATACACACACACACACATTTTAAGAGAATTACAGAACATAGAGCACTTACAAAGAGATGCAAATACCAGGAGCCTCTGTTCCATTCTGCTGCAATCAGGCTTCGCACACTAGATTTCTCTAGGTAACTGCTTCTTTCCATAGCGTATGATCTCTGTTCCACAACACGCTTGATTTGTGGGTCATCAGAAAAGTCATGACACAGTTTTGCATAGAAAAATATGTCATGACTATTCTGACACTTTTTTTTCCCCCTCTTTTTTTTTTTTTTTGAGAAGTTTCTGCCTTAGGGCACGTGCACGGATGGCCACGCTGCAATCCCCTCTCCTCTATTCTCCTCTCAGGATCTTGGGCATGCATGCACATGCGCCTGGCATGAGTTTAAGCCATCAGGTCCGAGACTTGAACCGCGGTGGACTACATGGGAGTCTGGCGACATAGCCATTACACCAACTGCTGGTCCCACCCACTTTTTCCTTCTAAAGGAACTGGTCTTGAAGAGATGGCCTGAGGTGCCTTCTTACATAGTAGCTATCTTTGCCTGCTTCTTTTCAGTTCCTATCCATCTCCTCCTCATCATGTAGGTTTTAAAAATTCTACTTTAGTTAGTTCCATTTATTTCTCCTGTTGCCAAATGTATTTGTTGACTGTACAATGTTACAAGTTCTGAAGTCCCTGTTATTAGCGTTGAGTCATGCTCACCAAGGGCCAAGACTCAACTTTGTAGGTAACTAGAGTCTACTAGGGAATGTCGCGCCAGGCTTTGGAAGCTCAGTAAGCTCTCTTTTTTTCAGCATCACCATAAGAAAATTGTAAACCGGGACCTAAAAACCCAGCCTGGGAATGAGATGAAGAAATTTTTGAGCACCTTAACTATAGATGTTGTGGCCCGGAGTGACCAGGGATGGTATACCTGTGCAGCATCCAGTGGATTGATGATCAAGAGGAACAGCACGTTTGTCAGAGTCCATGGTAAGCTAGGAGCACCTTGGAATCGTGCTGCCTCGGGAAGTGGGATAATTAAAAATATTTAGATAGAGGCCAGCAGGTGGCATGGTGGTTCAAGTGCTAGATTTCCACATGGCTTACTATAGTTCAAGTCCTAGGCTCAGCAGCTTGAAAGTCACAACGGGCACTTGTGAATGCATGCTCAAAATCTCAGGAAGAGAACAGAGAAGAAGGGACTGTGGCCGTCCCCCAGGGGATGTTTTCTCACTGTCTCTCTCTGTCTTTGTCTGGCAAACACATGTGCTCTATGGAACCTCTCCTCCCCCCAAAAAGAAAGTTAGATCACATGCCTAGTTTGCATGTTCAGAAGGTATTTTTAACCTCCTTAGCATGGGAGGTTCGATGGTGCAAACAGAGGTGAACAGCATAGTTTTGTAGTCCCGGACTTGGGTTAACTTTAAAGATAAAATTAGCTAATACAGTAAGTGCTCACTAAATATTACTTGCTGTAATTGTTGGTACCATTATTATTATTACAGAACTTAGTACAGTGTTATTTTTGAAGGTAATTTAAAATTTTTCATTTTATTGCCAAGACTGAGACCTGCTTGAATAAGTATGAGCTGTACAAATTGGGCAAACCCACATTTAATTGCTTTCTCTGGGACTTGGAGTAAATCACTTTCGTTTTCCATTTACTCTTGTTTGCTCACATGCACGTCTCAGTTCAGATGATAATTGATGTGATACCTTATGTGTGAGCCTTGATAAGGACTTCGGCTTCATGATACAGGAATGTATCAAAGGGTTTTGAGCAGAGACAGACATGCTCTGGTTTATGTTTGTATAGGATTACTGGGTGTGCTATATGGGCTACTTTAGAGAATTAAGGGCAGAAGGAGAGCACCAGTTAGCAGGCTGATTGGCTGATGGAAATAATCCGGGTGAGAGACGATAGGTTACTTGGACAAGGGTAGTGGAGGTGAAGGTGGAGGAATGATCTGAGTCTGGACCTCTTTGAAGGGGAAGTCTATAGGCTCTGCTGCTCCTTTCATTGGCTGTGGCGTGTCAGAGAAAGTGGAAGACGACTTAAGCTTTAGCTTGAGCAACTGAGTAAATGTGGTGTTGTTTACTGGGAAGACTGAAGAGGAGTAAGATCTGGGGCATGTTTATCTGGAGATGCCCATTAAACATCCAAGAAGAGATACTGAATGTCTAAACCTGGCACCCAGAGAAGTCACTTTATTAAGTGAGTGGGTCGGAAGGCTGAGTCCTGGAGCATGTCACCAGATGGAGCAGGGCATATGAAGAGGGTGTCATGAGGGCAGAGAAGAAGAACACCCAGGGGCCCCTGGTGGATCGAGGGACAGCTGCAGAGAGGAGCAAATAGTTAGGTGGAGACTTGAGGAACCAGTAGGCTTGAGGGAGTTCCCTGGTGGGGAGAGCAGCAGCTAATGCAGAAATGGAGGTGCGGAGGATGCAGAGAGGTGACCTGCAGAAAGGAAGCATGGGGAATCGTGAACGTGCAGCTCTTCAGAATCTCAGTCTTTGACTTTTCACTTGAAATGCAAAACTAAAAGACCCAGCCCTTTCCAGTTACGTCGACACATGCGAGCATAATTATTTTTATTTTCTTTCAGAAAAACCTTTTGTTGCTTTTGGTAGTGGCATGGAATCTTTGGTGGAAGCCACAGTGGGAGACCGTGTCAGAATCCCCGTGAAGTACCTTGGCTACCCAACCCCAGAAATCAAATGGTAATGACTAGAAGTGAATGAGAAGCATCGGTTCCCATGAAAGCAAATCCTTCGGCTGTAGTCATTCCCGGGATTGTTTTCACAGGTATAAAAATGGAAGAGCCATTGAGTCCAATCACACAATCAAAGTGGGGCATGTACTGACAATTATGGAAGTAAGTGAAAAAGACGCAGGAAATTATACCATCATCCTCACCAACCCCATTTCAAAGGAGAAGCAGAGCCACATGGTATCTCTGGCTGTGAACGGTGAGTCCATTGGGTTTTCCTTTCTGCCCATGGCTTATTAGCAGCCTGTGATCTGTCTTCCCCAATAGCCAACCCACCAGCCCTGTTTCCTGCTGCTCCAGCCTCTGTATGAGAATGACTCAGGCTGGAGGGTTGCGATGAGGTGTGGGTCAGTGTGCTCCGGCTGTTTTAGCGGCAGAGCCATGTAAGCAAGCTGCTGGGCAGTCAAGGGCAAGATTAGTGCAGACAGTCCACTGGATGGCCAAGTGCTGGGAAATGGGGGTGCTCCAGGATCAGCTGTCACCCTAGGTTGCTAGAACTTGGTGCCTGTGGGATTGCACACCTGGTATGCAGAGGCATGAGATGCTTGGATTTTGCGTGAAGCTTCTAGATTGACGTTAGGGTTGATGTTTCCGTGATGCACACGCAGATTCCAACTGTGAAAGCTTTCACAGGTTGACACTGTTTGCTTGATTGGTATCCTGCTAACATCTTCTTTTTTCTTTCTTTTTTTTTTAGGAGAGGTTTTTGCTATAGGGCACGTGCACTCGCCAGAAAGACAGAGAGAGACAGAGAGATAGAAAGCGAGAAATCACCCCCCAGGGGGGATGGTCATGCCGCAATCTCTTCTCCTCCATTCTCCTCTCGGGATCTTGGGCACACACGTACATGCGCCCAGCGTGAGTTTAAGCCACCGGGTCTGAGACTCGAACCACGGTCGACTACATGGGAGTCCAGCGACATAGTCATTATGCCAACTGCTGGTCCCCAACCTCTGCTTAATTTCCGACTGAGATCCAGGATTTACTCTGAATCTATGCAGGGAAGAGGATTTCGTTGTTGTGGTGGTGGTTGTTTTTTGTTGTTGTTGTTTTAGAGATTTTTGCTATAGGGCATTTGCACTTGCCAGAGAGACAGGAACAGACAGAGACAGAAAGTGAAAATCACCCTCCAGGAGGGATGGCTGTGCCTCAGTTCCTTCTCCTGCATTCTCCTCTTGGGATTTTGGGCATGCACGCACACACACCTGGCATGAATTTCAGGTCACCAGGTCTGGGACACAACTTTGTGGGAGTTTAGTGACTTAACCACTACACCACCTCCTGCTGGCCCTAAGGCAGTACAATTTTGATTTAAGGCTGACTTTAACTTTGTTTTCTCAAACAGAAAGATCTAAAGGAATGTTTACGCTAAAAGGAGAAGGGTGCTTGGTCAGACAGTGTGAGAGGTGCTGAGGTGCTGGCGGGTGGGTTGCTGTATTGCAGAGCTTCTCAGGAGTATTAACGCATGCATGTATGTCGCTGGTTTCCGGTTTGGCCAGAGTGGTCCCCGCCCCCCCCCCCCCCCCCCCACACACCCAAGTAAATCCATGTGTAATTTGTATCTTGCTCCAAACAGCTCAAGAAATGCTTCTCTGGTGTAATTCTTTGTTCTCCCTACTGGCACGGCATGTCAGAACTTCAGGAAATTCTCTTGAGACATCTAGGTGCTTCTCCACGTATCCCGAAACTCCTCTGCTGAGCTTGGCTGCATTTCTTTGTTCAGAGAGTGCTTTCAAAGATGACAGGTTCCAGAAGGGTTGTTTAGGAGCTGTGTGGGGATAGGGGGCTGGGGAGAGGAGAGAATGTGGAAACTGATAAGCAAGATGGAGGAGATGAATGCCTAATCAAGGCAAAAAAACCCCCCCAAAAAACAAAAACAAACAAACAAAAGGACAGTGAAGAACCACATTTCACCCATTCATTAAATCGAATGTAGTTTTTGCGCTATAGACTTTGCAGCTAAAAAAGAGAGAGAGAGAGAAGGGAGACGAGGAAGGAGGAAAGGATGAAGGAAGCAAGAAAGGGGAAGAGAGAGCAGTAAGGGGGTTGAGAGAGCGAGCGAGAGAGAGAGAGAACGAGAAACACAGCTGATGGGGACAGGGACACATTCCCTCAGAGCTACTCCTCCCTTCATATTGTGGTGGCTCTGTGCTTGGATTCAGAAGTCAGGGGCCAGGTCTGTTCTAGTAACTGGGTGAGCTTGGGCGAGTTATTTAACATTTCCATTTCATTTTATTCTTTATGTGTAAAGTAGTTGTAAGGATGAAGTGAATTAGTTCATGAAGAGTACTGACAACACTGTTTGGCCCATAATAAATGTGCTTATTATGTTATTGCAAAGATTTTCTTCCTGTAATCTTGTGTCAGTCTTAGGGATTAGGAGGACAGAGAAAACGGCCTCTACCACGTCCATGTGAGAATCTGAGGACGGAGTTAGGAGACTTGCATCAAGTCGCTCCGCTTCCCAGTACATTCGTATTAGCTTATTGTTAACAAAAAGTTCCTTTCTTTCATGAGAGTGAAAGAGAAAGACAAGCATCCCAGCAGGGTCCCCTACCATGACCCTCGACCTCAGCCCTCCCAGCTGGTCAGGGCCCAGGCGTGAGGACGGAGCATGCTCAGGTCGGCTGAGGGAGACCTGAGACCTCCCGACCTTCTGTGCCCTCTCACCTCGGAGCAGCGTGTTAGCCCGTGTCATTTCGCCAGCCTTTGCCAGCCAGCTAGTCGTCATTATCATGAGTATCTGATATCGCTAGAAGTCAGCTCTCCTAGTTCCAAGTCAAGGCTAGATGTTCTTTGAAAAAGAAAATGGGGACAAAATTATATATATATATATATATATATATATAATTTTAATCACAAGACAAGTACTGTGGGCAGCCATGTACTCTACCATGAATAGCAATACTAAGTTTTAAAGAGGTTTTTGCCTTAGGGTGTGTGCACTTGCTAGAGAGAGAGAGAGAGAAAAATGTGAGAGGGAAAGTGGGAAATCAACCCCCGGGGGATGGCCATACCACAATCCCTTCTCCTCCATTCTCATCCTGGGATCATGGGCACGCACACACACGTCCCCAGTGTGATTTTGAAGCTACTGGATCCGGAACTTGAACCGTGGTAGGCCTCATGGGAGTCCAGCAGCATAACTAGTATGCCATCTGCTGACCTCAAATACCACTTATTTATTTTTTTGGGGGGAGAGGTTTTTGCTATAGGGTGCATGCACTCTCCAGAAAGACAGAGTGAGACAGACAGAAAGTGAGAAATCACCCCCCAGGGGCGATGGCCACACCACAATCCCTTCTCCTCCATTCTCCTCTCGGGATCTTGGGCACGCATGCATATGTGCCTGGCGTGAGTTTAAGCCACTGGGTCCAGGACTCAACCCGAGGTTGACTACATGGGAGTTCAGTGACATAGCCATTATGCCAACTGTTGGTCCTGAATAATAATAATTTTAAAAAGTTGGCTTCAGGGGCCAGCAGGTGGTGTGGTCGTTAAGGTGCTGGGCTCCCACATGGCCCATTGTGGTTCAAATTCCGGGCCTGGTGGTTTGCTTTTTCACTTTCCCTCTCTCTCTCTCTGTCTCTCTTTGGTGAGTGCATGTGCCCTAGAGTAAATTTAAAAAAATAATAATAAATAAAATTAAATAAATAATTTTTAAAGGAATTCCTTTATTTAATATCTATCTATCTATCTATCTATCTATCTATCTATCTATCTATTTATTTATTTATTTAGATTTGACCAGAGAGGGACAGAATGAGAAAGTAAGAGAGAGGGAAAGTGAGAAAGCACGCTTCCAGCTCTGAGACTCCAGGGTTAGCCATGTGGGCATCCAGTGTCCTTAACCACCACGCCACCTGCTGGCTCCTAAACAAATACATTTTTTAAAAGTTGGCTTCAGTTGTTGACGTCATCCACATTCCTCAAGGCCAACAGACAATTCCTAAGTTGTTTCTCCTCTCTCCAGTCCCACCCCAGATTGGGGAGACATCTCTGATCTCTCCCGTGGACTCCTATCAATATGGCAGCACGCAGACGCTCACGTGTACCATCTACGCCATCCCACCCCCGCATCACGTCCGCTGGTACTGGCAGCTGGAAGAGTGTGCCGACAAGCCCAGGTGAGAAGGGCCGCAGGGTCCTTTCCCCTACGACTTGGCGTTTCTGACAGCCACGCCATACCATGACTCCATTCTAAACCGATACCTCTCTCCCTAAGAAAGTCACCCTTCTCGGGGTACTTGTATTCTCCTTCCGTCTCTCTCTGTCTAAGTGTTAGGAGATCTCTTTGCTTGGGGTGCCCCACCTCGAGGTTAGCTGTCTGTCGTCTTAGGTTAGCTCTCACGGATGCTTCTCCGAAAGCAGGCGGTTTGGTCCGTTTGCCAATCGCCCATGTTGGTGTGTTCTCCCGATGCCGGCCAATGGGTGACCAGCACATCGTCGTCCTTATCTGCCAGGAGGTCCATCTCTCAGAGGAAGTGCTGGTGGATGTGAGGCAGAGATAGACCCCGCCCGGCCCTCAGCATCTCGGACGCAGCTTATCACCTCGTAACACAAGTCCAGACATCCTTAGGGAAACAACAACCGCCCCCACCCCCCGCCACCCTAAGCAGTCCTCTTCCTGTTGTTGTTTTTGAAATGGCCACCCCACTCTTTCTTCCCCAGCGGCTGACCATCCCACACACGAAGGCTGCCGCCCCACAGAGATGACATTAAGAAGCCCAATGGCTTCTAAGTGTCCTTGCCTTCCTTTGACCTAAATTGACTTGAATTGTCTTGTCGATCCAATTTATGAATGGAGGCTTGTTCCCAGAATAGCTGCTTCCCTCCTGTATCCTGAACGAATCTACCTGGAACCTCTTCCTGCATTGTGGAAGCCCATTTTTAATTGGCACCCTGGTAGACTGCATTGCAAATGGTTTCCAAGAACATAATAACTAAAGTCTTACTCTTTTTCTTACTATTGATTTGAATGGAGGAGAAAAAAATATCATGACCTCTTTCTCTCAGCCAAACTGCTTTGACAAATCCAAGTTCTTGTGAAGAATGGAGACGTGTGGAGGACTTCCAGGGCGGAAATAAAATCGAAGTCAACAAACATCAGTTTGCCGTAATCGAAGGAAAAAACAAAGTGAGTTCGAAGTTCTTTCATTTAAAAATCCCCTCTGCCTCTTTTTTTTTTTTTCTCTTTCCATCTTTCCAGATGGAAAGCGGATACATGACAACGTGAGGCATATTGAAGATGACTAGACTGGATGATGTAATATTAGCTTATTAAATCAGTTTGAAAACACCATTGACCTTTATCAGTACAATTATTAGTACGATAGCTGAATAGCTTTCAAAAAACGAGAAAACATGCCATTCGATCTCCACATCTATTGTAAGGTACTTCTGACTTTGTAAACATGAGAATGAGAAAAAAAGTGTGCAATGTTACACTAAAACACATCATTAATTGTATGATTTCCAAAGCTTTTTCTGTACAGTGTGGGAGCCACACACCGGCATGTAGTTGCATAAATTTGAGAGTGGTCAGTGCCGTGGTGGGAATAGAGTGGGTGGGTTGTTGCAGTGGTGGAGACTGCTGGGTTTTAATCTGATGTATGTGCACACACACACACCCTGCCTTGTTAACGGCCTGGATGGTTTTTGTTTTTCACAGACTGTCAGTACTCTTGTTATCCAAGCTGCAAACGTGTCCGCTTTGTACAAATGTGAAGCAGTCAACAAAGCTGGAAAAGGAGAGAGAGTTATCTCCTTCCACGTGACCCGTAAGTCCTCCTTTCTGGGTACCCACAAAGTGGGTACCCAACTGTGTCATCCTCGCCATTCATGGGAGTGGCCTGATGTTGCATTGATCATGGGTGCTTTTGTTCATGAACTAAAAGTCCCCAGGCAGGTCCCAGGCTCATAGGAAGTCAGTACATGTGCCTTCGCTGGAGAGGGGACAATGACACACGTGCCTTAAACCTCAGGTTCTGTGTCACAGTTCTGTCTCTGTCATCAGCCTCTGGAGCGCAGTGCCTGGCTTGTCGAGGTTCAGTAAATATCGATGGGCTTGCTGCTGACCTGTGGATGAGGCAGAGTTTTCTTTCCTTTTAAAATTTTATTTTTCTAAATGTACTAGATATTTTAGACACAGTTTTAGAAAGTTTATGTATTGCTTTCTTCCATGAGTGAGAGAGAGAGAGAGACAAAGAGAAACAGAGAACACCCAGCAGAGTCTTGACACAATCCCCCCTCATCTTCAGCCAACCCTAGATCATGGGCACATGCATGCCCCTGTACTCGGGAGATCTCCAGATGCAAACCTGGAACCTTCTCATGTGGGTCAGCTTCGCAGAGGGACCCATTTTACTGCTGTGCTAACATCTGGCTCCCGGTCAGATTTTCTGGAGGCAACACAATAATGAAGGAATAATGCCCTCCTAATCGGCTTTGCCTGTGCATCTCAGTTTATGGATAAGCCTTAGCTCATGGTACTGGAAAGACAGTGAGGTCTAGACTAATTTGTTAGAATAACCGTAGCTTTAATGTCATTGGATGTTGTGTGTTAATGAAGACCAAAGTTTTAAACTTTTATGTTAGGGTCAGATCACTCCTTTGGACTTTTAAAAAGGTCTTAGAAACTGTTCAAAGTGGAGCTGTGGTAAGTTATCTAAGGAATTTATTTACATTCCTAAATACTCCATTTGGGCCAGGTCTTGCACTGCGGTGCCTACGGCATCCCGTTTGGCTGTCTCTGTAGCGCTTCCCTGGGACCGCTGGGCTTCCATACTCTTGTGCTTCAGAGCAGTCCGAGGCAACGACAAGACGGCAGCATGCCACACTGACTTAAGCCAGCACCCTCTAACCGTGGGCTCTACTTTTCAGGCGGTCCAGAAATTACCCTGCAGCCTGACGCCCAGCCAACCGAGCAGGAGAGTGTGTCCCTGTGGTGCACCGCAGACAGGACTATGTTTGAGAACCTCACGTGGTACAAGCTTGGCCCCCAGGCAGTGCCAATCCACGAGGGAGAATTGCCCACACCCCTTTGCAAGAACTTGGATAATCTTTGGAAACCGACTACCAACATGTTCTCTAATCATACAAATGACATTTTGATCATGGAGCTTCAGAATGTGTCCTTGCAGGACCAAGGAGACTACGTCTGCTTTGCTCAAGACAGGAGGACCAAGAAAAGACATTGCGTGGTCAGGCAGCTCACGGTCCTAGGTAGGGCGGCGACTCTGGGTCAGCGTCCAGCGTTATGAAGTAGACTCGTGCATGCTTAGCTTAGTCACCGAGGGTCCTCAAGGCAGGAAGAAGCGATGCATTAAAAAGAGAAATAACATCCTTTCCAACCCTGGTGATAGGCTAACTCAGTGGTGTCTGCCAGGGATGCGCTTGCATGAGGGCACTTTCTGCCTTCGTCTTGGGCATTCGTTTATTTTAGTCGGCACACGTTTGTGGAATGCTTCCCGTGAGCTAACGGCAAAAGTTCCCAGGAGTGAGCAGGATGCAAAGGATGTGCACAGAGGCGACCCTTGGGTAGTCGTGACACAGAGTGGTCTCCACGTCCATGAAGACGGGGCTGTTTCTTCCCTCTGCTCTAGCTCTACTGTTAGAGTATAGTGGGACGTACCAGGTGCTCAGTGAGACACCTGCTGCTGGAACAGTGAGATGCTGGGTTGAGTTTAGGGTGTAGGAGGGTGCTTGAGAGTGCTTCTTCACTCACTGCCTGGAGCTCTGGGTCATCCCAGAGGGTCCAGTCTAGCTGAAGGTCACCGGGCTGGTAATTTTAGTGAACAGAGAGCTCTGGAAGTTTCCCATGGGGGCACTCGGTACACCTTGTCCACCGTGTGCTATAACTAAAGACTCAACAGCCCCGGCTCAGTCTATGGGAAGGTCACACACCTGGGGAGTCTCTGTGCTATCTCCCACCATTTTCTCCTCCTTTTTGTACTCCATTCCAGTTCCCTCGGTACGTGTGTCCCTTATTTTTTACTATTAGGAAGAGGAACTGCCTGGATAACCTTATCTATACCAAGGCTTTAAAGGCATGTCTTCCTCAGATGCCTTGGCATATTTTAAGAGGCGATTTCATATAGACATTAGCATACAATATGGGAGCTTTAAGACTCAGGTGTCGAGTCATGTCCAGGACCCTTCCAATCACACTCCATGCGTGACCACGTATTTTCTGTTGACATCGATAGCTGGCCTGGTTTCAGGCTAATGGGAGAATTCAGAAAGAGATCTGAAGGAGGGCTCCTGCCCTTGCCACATCTGGGACATACATACGCTCAAGCGAGCTGGTTTGCTTCTCTACAAGCTCCGAAGTTATTGTTCTACATTTTGTTCCTGGAAATGAAGCTCAGTTCTGTGCTTACACCCCGTGAAGTGCGCAGTCCAGGTGGTCTCGGTTGGCTGAGTGTTGATGTGGATTCTTTCCGCCTGATTCTTTGGGCGTTCAGTTGATGTGGACAAGGTATTTCCACAGCACTTTGATGGTTTGCAGGAAGAGAGTCCACCGCGAGTTTTGCTGTCCATTCCCACAAACACCCATGGGCTTCGTTTTCTTTGGATCCCTGATTTTCCGTAGGGCATTGTTGTATTGTGTTGTCGTGGAAATAGCACTGCCCTGGTCTTTTAGGGTTACCAGATCCTGTTAGTTAGTCCAACTGGTGACTTAATTATAGGAACTTGGCATGGGGTTTAGTCACCTGAACTGCCGTTATGTCATCTGTAATGTAAGACCAGCGGTTCTATCCTGCCCATCCCATAAGGGCAATAGCGAGTAGCAGAAATAGCATCAATGAGTTTTTGTAAGAATTACCCAGTAAACAAAAGGCATTCTTGGTTAACTTCACTGAAGCTTTCTCAGAGAAATATGGCGGAGTTTTAGGGAATTATTGGCTAGTATTTTCATGGAAAGTTTCCCTCTGGAGAAACTGTGTCTGACTAGAGGGGGGAAAGACTCCATCGAGGCGACTCTCACCTTTTTGTGATGCAGCTGGTTCCCAGCTAGAGTCATGAAGGCATGTTCAAAGACATGCCACCATCCGTCTGATCAGTAACCAGGGGTGCCCTCATCAAGTTCTGTTTTTTAGCTGAGTAAACCAACAAGCTGCTATTTGCTGGGTTTAAACTGTTTACACGTTTCCTGGTCCTGACACCATTCTGAGAGTTCTAACCACGCGTTCTATGGTCTGCTCTTCACGTGCACAGAGCGCATGGCACCGGCGATTACAGGCAACCTGGAGAACCAGACCACAAGCATCGGTGAGACCATCGACGTTTCCTGCATCGCGTCAGGCAATCCTCCGCCACAGATTACCTGGTTTAAAGATAACGAGACGCTTGTGGAAGACTCGGGTGAGTAGAGCTTGCCTTTCCTTTGCTGGTAGCCGACTGTTCCCGGGAGAGTTACCCGAGAGCCCCTACTATTTCTTAATTCATTTTAAGGTAGAAAAAGAGCCACGTTAGTACCCATCTGGCTCATTTCATAAACTCAGAACCAGGCTATCTGGAGCCATGTGGAATTCCCACGAGCACCTCGGGGAACACCGGCCCACAGCTGACCCTCTGTGACTCTTTGGAGTTACGGCCTAGCCTAAGACCAAGGGCAGCATTTGTATTTTGAAACATTTCCCAGAAACCTTCCCAGCTCGCATCCTCATGCATGAGAACCCTTTTCCTCCTCTCTCAGGCATCGTGTTGAAAGATGGAAACCGGAACCTAACCATCCGCAGGGTGAGGAAGGAGGACGAGGGCCTTTACACCTGCCAGGCATGCAGTGCTCTGGGCTGTGCGACTGTGGAGGCGTTTTTCGTGATAGAAGGTCAGTGGGAGGTAATGGACACGGGTGGTTTTGAAAGATGAGCTTGGCTCTTACTTATGATGGTACACTTTGGGTGGGCTGATCAGAGGTGAGTTTTATTGTTCTTTGTATTTCACAGGGTTTTGTTTTTTTTTTTCCCCAACTTGTATGTATTGTTTTAACCAGAAGGGTAATTAATGTTGGCTTAATTCTGTTTGCACATTTCCCATCTCTGTAGTTCTCACTGTAGAAAACGTCTTAGCCAGGCCGGGATGAATATCCTCTTCTCCCTGATTCTGTCTTTGTTTGAACGGCTCAAGTAACTTACAGAAAAGAGAGCCAGCAGGTCGTGTGGATGTTAAGGTGCTGGATCCCACATGGCCAGCTTTGCAGTTCGAATCCCAGAACCAGCGACTTGAGAAGCACACCAGGCATGTGTGTGTGTGTAGGCCAGATCATGAGGACGAATAGAGGAGAAAGGATTGTGGCATGGCCATCCCCCCTGGGGCGGTAGTTTCTCACTTTCCCTATTTCTCTTATCAGTCTCTCTGGCAAATACACTACAGCAAAAACGTAAAGGGAAAAAGAAGGAAAAGAGAGAGAGAAAAAAAAGAAATGATGGATCTACATATATTTGAAAAAACACTAAAAGGTCCAGGCTACTCAGGAAGTCTCAAGGAATCAGAGTTTTTTTGGACTAAGATAATTAAGGTTCACAATAGATCATTGCACTTCGGAAACAGAAAACGTGGGGCTCTTATCTAAATCGAAAAGGGAACTTGTGTGTATGTACATATGAGTGAGATGAAAGCTGGCATTTTCTCCGATAGGAACAGTAACTTGTGATAGGGTATTTTAGCATGAGGAGTGTAGTCCTATGTCTTTTTCTCTGGCAGAACAGGGAAGCTGTATTGTGTGGGTGAAGGAAGGGCTTTCAAGGGGAAGAGAAGGCAGGTGACAGACGGGGGAACTGACGGATTTCTGTGAACTCCTCCTCAGTCGTCTCTCCAAGTCGGGTTTTGGTCCCTTTAAGCCATTGGGTCTGTGTCTCCACGTCTCGATACACTGACATGCTTTCGGATCTGTAGGCGCATTGCCGTTTCCACAGCTGCACTTGCCCACGAAGATTTTCAAGGACATGGTGGTTCTGTCCCTTCTAGAGTGGGCCACGTGCTGGGGCAAATCCTAGGGAGGACTTCCTCTTTCTCTCTGATGCTCTGCGTCACCTCTGTTAACTATGTGCAGCTGGTTAAGGGTGCCTAACGAGGTCCCACGGGTGCCAAGATCAGAGTTAACTTCTCCCTTGGAGAGAAGACTCCTGTGAGGTTCCCAAATATCAGCGTGGGAGTGTTGACACACCAGCTGACACAGACAACTGCATCTTTGAACTCTCTCCTCCCTGTGTACAAATCTGTGTGTAAATGGAGGAGTACTTCACGGGGCCAAACAGACACAAAATCGACTCGCAGTCATACTTGGTGTTTGGCTCTCAACTGGTAACTCGTATTTTGCTAACTAATTAATTACTTGTCTTCTGGCTTCTGGAGCTTGCCATGGGTCCTTCTCACAGCTTGTGGCCTGGTTTGATCCACACACTGCACTCTTTCAATGAGAGACCACAGTGGTAATTGCTTCCTTATCACCCCATTTATATATATATATGTATATATATATATATACATATATATATATAATTATTGATTTGATTTTATTTATTTGTTGATCATACGTAGCTGAAAGCCTCCTTCTGTATTTCATTTCTCCCACTCTGAGTTGTCCTCTGAAACCCTGAGCAGCTGGAGCTTTCCTTGAAGTCCCCTGGCTTTTCCTCTGTCTTTCCCTTCTAGGAGGTCTTAAATCCTATTGCCAAGGCCGTGTGGGATGTGCTCCCCTCTGCTCCCTTTTTTCCCCCCTTTGGGCTCCCACCTCACAAGGACAGGATAGTGTGGTGATTAACGCCTGTTGAACAGATCTTAGTTAATCCTTTCTTTCTTTCTTTCTTTCTTTCTTTCTTTCTTTCTTTCTTTCTTTCTTTCTTTCTTTCTCTCTTTCTCTCTTTCTTTCTTTTTTGCCAGAAGGTATGTGTGCTTGTCAGAGAGAGACTGAGATTCAGAGAGAAAGGGAGAGGGAAGAAGCACTCCACAGTGGGCATGATCATGTCCCAAACACTCCTTTCCATCCCGTCAGGATTTGGGGCATGCATCCGTACACATGTGGTGTGCTTTTCAAGCTGCCTGGTTGGGCATTCAAACTGCATATGGTTGGACACGCAGGCTCTTTCTGTCTTTACCACGGGGCTGTGGGCCAGTCCCCTTGTTAACCTCTTGACTGAGCTGCTGCCTGTGTGCCCTTGCTCAAGTGACTTAACCAATCTCACACCTTTTTTCTTATCTGAAAACTGAGGCTTATTGAGAGCTCAAAGCGAGAGATGAAAAATAACATATTGGCAGCAGTGAGTGCAGGGTAGGTGTGTGCGCGTGCTGGCTCTCTGGTCAAAGGACTTCATTTATGTCTCTACTTGATTTCTTAAATGATCTTCATCAGACTTTGCACAGCTCGACACACTGACCGTCAGTGTAAGATCAGACTTCTGTGTTCCCCAGAACTCGATCTGCCCTTTAAAGACTGTGCTTTCTCCATACACTTTCTATATTTGTCTTTGAGACGTTAATACGAATATCTTTAGTTTCTTTGGAATTTTATTGCTGGAAGTTTTCAGGAATGGTGTTTTGCAAACTTTAAAGTTTCCATCAAGAATGAGGCAGAGTCCATTCAAGTTAGGGCATGTGACTACATCTTGTACATTTTTTTTTTTTTTAATTATTGCTATAGGGGATGTGTGCTTGTGGGAGACAGAGACAGAGATAGGGAAAGTGAGAATGCTCCCTATGGGGGTGGGAGGATGTCCACTCCACAATCCCTTCTCTTCCACTCTCCTCTCGGGATTGTGGCTCACGTGCACACATGCCTGGTGTGTTTTTCAAGCCACTAGGTCCAGTACTGGAACCGCGTAGTCGGCCATGTGGAATTCAGCCACCTTGATCCCCATCCCATCTGCCGGCCTATATGTATTTAAGTTGGTGATTTTGAGATCTTGCTTTTGTGTTCAACTTTGTCATTGTATATCAAAAGGTATGGATTTCCATCTGTTGATACTCATTCAGTCGTCTTTCCAGGAGCCCAGGAAAAGACAAACTTGGAAGTCATTATTCTAGCAGGCACAGCGGTGATTGCCATGTTCTTCTGGCTCCTTCTTGTCATCGTCCTACGGACCGTTAAGCGGGTAACAGAATAATTTTCCTTCCATCCCCTGCACTCTGATTTCATGATTAATGAAAGCTGACTGCTGTCCTTTGAGCTGTTCTTCCCATTGTTGTTGGCTCAATGGGTGCATTTTTATTTCAATACAATAACATTCTTGCCCATTTTCTTCTGCTGGACCACTAGGCTTTAATTGCTAGAAGCCACTAGGGAGGAAGAAGGCTTGGACTGTCTAGTGTAATTACGCTTCAAAACTTGGTTCTGAGCTCATTTGGGAGATAAGGGGACACTGGAAGCGGGGTTATAATAGGACGGCGCTCAGACTCCACAAGTTTCATTGGGAAAGGAGAGTGCAGGAGGGAGGATCCCATACACAATAACAAGCACACACAACAACAGCCAACCGCAGGCTGAATGTGACTGGAAGGACTGCTTTGCAGGCCAATGGCGGGGAACTGAAGACGGGCTACTTGTCCATCGTCATGGACCCCGACGAGCTGCCCCTGGACGAGCGCTGCGAGCGCCTGCCGTACGACGCCAGCAGATGGGAGTTCCCCAGAGACCGACTGAAACTCGGTGCGTCTTCCATTGACATGAACTTGCTGTTGGGTTTCCTAGGCCATCTCTTCCTCCTTTAGGATGACATCCTGTCGGATGTTAGATTTCAGTTCAGAAATATTAATTCCATCTGTTGAATTTGGGCAAGCATCCATTTTGCCACTTAGAAGTAAGGTCCCTGTATAATCATCCAAAGCAGCGTGTTTGGAGAGCAAAAGGGGATTACTAAATAGTTTAGACAGGACAACGCAGTGAACCAAATTGTCTATGTTAAACTGGGATGTGTGGAGGCCAGACCCAGGCTCTTAAATGCCGGCCCCACATGAAAGGTCCGAGTTTTCTTCCATCGACTAGATGCATATACCTGCCTCAGACTGGCTGGGGCCGGGACTGGATCAGTGCATGAAGACCCTCTCTCTCTCCTGTTCTCTCATGGAAGAGAGAAACATTATTTTGGCGGTACAATAATCCAAGTCTTCGCTCCTGTTGCCATTATTGACTTTAGGTAAGCCTCTTGGCAGGGGTGCCTTTGGCCAAGTGATTGAAGCCGACGCCTTTGGAATTGACAAGACAGCAACTTGCAAGACAGTGGCTGTCAAAATGTTGAAAGGTAAAAGCAAAATGATATGGTGACGTCTCTCTGTGTGTGTTTTATCCAGTCTAAACATGGTGTAAAGCTTCTGTCTGTGCTTAGGTGACCTCCAGTCATGCATGCAGCAGCCTATATAGTATCTTACGTTAGTTGGTGGAAGGTTCCTCCTTTGTAGCCCCCTGCCAGGGTGCATGGGATGACCAGCCAAGTTGGGGATGGGTTCCATCTGCCTTACCTGGAAACCTTGGTGCAGGGCTGAGCTTGCACCATCGGGCTCAGTGGTCCTTGTTACAGAAAAAAAAAAAAAAAAGTAAAATTGTTTCTTAATATATTATGGTGTAAGATAATCATGGACCATCTGGGAATATCAGAAGGAACTTGGTATAATAAGTAAAAATAGTAGAATACAAAACAGCATGTTCTCTAGAACTGGAAATATAAAAGGTCTTTGCAGAGAAAAGATGATTTGCAAAATAAGACTGGTTGTACCAGGAGGCCAATAGGTAGCTTGGTGGTTAAGGTTCTGGATCCCTCATGGCCACATCTGCAGTCTGAGTCCGAGACCCAGTGCCTTGAAGAACACATCAGGCGTATGTGCATGTGTACTCAAATCCCAAGAGGAGAACGGAGGAGAAGGGATTGCAGTGTGGCCATCTGCCCTGGGGGATTGATTTCTCGTTTTCTCTCTCTCTTCCTCTCTGGCAAGCACGTGTGCCCTATGGGGGAGAATACACACACACACACACACACACACACACGTACACACGTGCATATATTTATATATACATACATGCACATACATGTACATGTATATGTATGCATAAGTCTATATATATGTGTGTGTCTATATATGTGTGTATATATATATAAAGAATGATTGTACTAGGAAAAAAAGATTCTGAATGATGTTTTAAAAATTAAAAGCTTTATAAATAACCATGAATCCTAATAGCAATGGCATTCTGGTCCTGCCATATCAATTTGGGAAGTGATGCAGACAAAGCTTTTTGCTCTAATTATGATGTTCTGCCCTTAATGAGGACCGTACTGCGAGCCTTTTGCCACCGGGTCTTGTACATTTCAAAGCATCTTTTTCTTTTGCCCTTTCTCCCTTAAGCCCAGTGGGCTATGTCGTTTGGAGGTAGCTCACCAGAGGCTGAGGCCTGGACCATGCCTCTAAAAGTGGAGGGAAGCGTAGCAGCCTGTCCAGGAGCAAACGTGTGCTCTCGGCCCCGCAGCCTCATGTGCCAGCTGGCAAGGCCCTTGGCAAATTGCCTTCCTGGCACAGACGGGCTGGGACATCAGTATACACATGAGGACGTTTAATACGCGGCGCTGCTTCCTCAGGAGGAAGCACTGCGGTGACAGGCCCTAAAAAGCATAGTAATAAACTTGAAGCCTAAAAGTCCCGTTTTATAAAGGAAGACAGTCTGGCACGATCCCATTACAGTTGTGTTTTCCATTTTGTAAAAGACGTTACAATGGATTGTTTAAAAAAAAAAAAAAAAAGCAGACATTCTGGGTTGACTTAAAGTAAGAATTTGATTTTGAATGAGAAAACAGAATTCACACCTGACTTTTAAAGACATGTACTTAGACTGTCAATGAGGTTACCATTGTATTGTCCCTGGGGAGGTGAGACACAGGGTTGCACGCAGTGGAGAGACGGGTGTCAGTCACCCTCAGGCCAGGCCTGCATTTTTGATTTTCCTCTTTGCCCTGTATTTGTAGAAGGGGCGACGCACAGCGAACACCGAGCCCTCATGTCTGAACTCAAGATCCTCATTCACATCGGCCACCATCTCAATGTGGTCAACCTCCTGGGGGCCTGTACCAAGCCAGGAGGTGAGTAACCGTGGATCGTTCTGGGTGTCTGATTCTGACATCTGCTTCTCTACGAGTATTTGAAGAAACCACTCAACCCCCATGGCCTTGATTTCCTTAACTTGGAATAGTTTGCAGATTCCTCTATATAAACATATTTCATGGAGGTTTAGTGGGTATGATTAAATTGTTCTCAAACTTTTCCTGAATTAAGAAATGCCACGTCACTATGATAGTTTGCAGCTTGTGGTGCAGGTGTGCAGATGAGAAAACTTCTCTCCAGACTTGAAAGCAAAGGACCTTAGGATTTAGCTCCCCCAAATAGAGTCGTCTTAGGTGACTGCATTGGAAAGCAGATAGATGAGTTATCTTCTGAAATTTTGGTTCATCTTGATGTGGAATTGCCTTTTGCAAAAGGAAAAATATAATGGGTGGGGCCTGGGGCCAGCTAGGTTCGGCAATCCCGCCTCAGTGGAAGCTCATAGCCTTCTACAGTACTTTTGGGTTCATAAATACATGAAAAGTTTAGTAGAAAACACGAGGGCAAACATAATTTCCTTCCTTGACGTGTCGTACTATCTGCAGGGCCACTTATGGTGATTGTGGAATTCTGCAAGTTTGGAAATTTATCAACTTACTTAAGGGGCAAGAGAAATGAATTCGTTCCCTACAAGGTATGTCATTTCTTGGCTCAACTCTGTCTGGCTATTAAATAAAGGATAGGTCAAAGTGGTACAGGTTAGTTATTCAGCTGAAATTGTATGAGGGACTTGTGAGGCATCTTCTTACTTTGCATCGTGGCTGTCAAAACGTCCTCCTCTACCTTCTGGGGGACATAGGCTTCTTGTGCTTTATTTTTGTGATTTTCATCAATTGAGCCATTAATAGGTGGTGCCAGAGTGGGGGAGGAGGTGAGTATGTGCAAGGAAAGGGAAGGGCAGGGGAGAGAGAGCTCTCGATTACACTCTCTCCAGCCAGATGAGGCTCCATGGAGGGGCACCTTCCTCTGTGAAGGCACCCTGCTGGGGAAGTGTGTCTGCATGCTCCTGGAAATGAGGCACTTAAATATTTTTGAATTATTTTATTTAACTTTATTTATTTATTTATTTAAATTTGCACAGAGAGGAAAAGAGAAAGAGAGAGAGAGAGACAGAGAGAGAGAAAGCAAACTGCCTGGTCCAGGACTCAAACCATGGTCAGCCATGTGGGAGTCCAGTGCCTTTAACCACCACACCATCTGCTGGCCCTGAGGCACTTATTTCTTTAATCTAGATAAGAGCTAAGCTTTAGGTAAGAAAGCTGATGATGTATAAAATGTACCCCAAATCTCAGTCCAGAGACTGCATAATCCTGAAATAGCTGTTCTTCTTATGCTCTTTTAATGAATTACAATTGTTGCCACAGTTTGCTGCATGTTAGAGACCAGCCCTGTGTTGAAGGAGTTTGTTTGCTTCTTTACAGACCAAAGGGGCACGATTCCGTCAAGGGAAAGACTACGTCGGGGAAATCCCTATGGATCTGAAACGCCGCTTAGACAGCATCACCAGTAGCCAGAGCTCCGCCAGCTCTGGGTTCGTCGAGGAGAAATCTCTCAGTGATGTGGAGGAAGAGGAAGGTACTGGCCATGTTTCCTTCATGCTTAATGCATGTTCTTATAGAAACAGACAAGGTGACAGAGTGGCACAAGGAGTGTGGTCATGGAGAAGTCCAGCACTGCCTCATATACAGTCTGCCTGTATCTGTGGTTTCAGTCTCCTCGATTTCAGTTACTCCCCATCAACCATGGTCTGAAAATAGGTAAAATAAGATATTTTGAGAGAGACCACATTCGCGGAACTTTTATTACGAGATATGTTGTTATAATTCTGTTTCTTTTCCTTGGCCATCTTTGTTCATCTCTTGCTGTGTCTAGTTTTTTGTTTTTGTTTTTTTAAAGTGAATTTTATCATAGGTATGTTTGTATGGGAAAAGACAGTAGATTTAGGGTTCGATGCTATCTACCATTTTGAGCCTCCACTGGGGATCTTGGAGCATATTTCTTATGGATAGGAGAGAACTACTGTATTGGAAAGGGACCTAAATTTCTAGATCATCTGCATTCCTTCTCTTCAAAAATGAAAGGTGGAAGTCCTAAACAAGCAGCGGCTAGGTTATCAGGCACAGCCAGGCTAGCCTGAGAAATCTGAGGAACTCAAGTGGGCTAAGCAGTTGGTGACAATCAAACCAATACTCTGAGGATATTGGCCTGGTGCTTTAGTAGCAGGACAGGCTGAGTACTGTGTCCTGGCAGGGCCCAGGAAGCTCTCTGGTGATCAGTGACCAGTTAGCCTCCTCGTCCTAAGCAGCTCAGCCCCGTGTTGTCTAATTCAGCACAGCAGATGCCTTTCGGCTCGTTGTAGCCGGCCTTCTCTGCGGCCGTCAGGAGCCTCTGTTTCTACCCCTCAAGTGGCTTACCAAGTCTTCCTGCTCACTGTACTTCCTCGGTGGAGTCTTGGTAAATAAATCGAGTCACTGGGAAAGTCATGACACATTTTTGCATAGAAAAATAAGTCCTGGCTTTCCTGGCGACCTTATACTTGTCTTTATTCAGTTTTTTTTTTTTTTCGATGGTATTTTGGTGCTTTTTATGGGTAGAGTGGTGGCCCCAACCTAACTCCTAAGACTTCGAGTCTGTGTATTGTATCTGTGCTTTCCTCAGAAGGAATAGACAGTTCCGTGGGTATAGAGAGCGGGCTTCCCAACATCTGACTCTTTTCGAGGTGTGAGTGTAGAAGAATCCCATCATGGGGACCAGCAGTTGGCATTATGGCTGTGTCGCTGCACTCCCATGTGGTCGATTGCGGTTTGAGTCCTGGACCTGGTGGCTTAAACTCATGTCGGGCGCGTGTGTGTGTGCGTGCGTGCCTAAGATCCTGAGAGGAGAATGGAGGAGAAGGGATTGCATGGCCATCCCCCCTCGGGGGTGATTTCTTGTTTTCTGTCTCTCTGTCTCTCTTTCTGGTGAGCTCACATGCCCTATGGCAAAAACCTCTCCAAAAAAAAAAAAAAGAATCCCATCATGAATAATGAAAAAAATGTACTTCAGTTTCCTTTGACATGAAACTACACATACAATTTAAGCCTATACTCTTTTCCTCAGAAGGAGAGCAGACAGTGAGAGTGTGGGACTTGTCTAGAAGAGCATAGGAAGGTCGTCTCTGCCTCACCTAATTGACCCTCCACTGAAAGACACTGTCTCTGCTCTCTTCCTCTTCATTCACAAAATGGTAGCCAAGAGCTGGAAACCCAAGGGGTAGAGATAGTGTGTTGGGGAAGAACGGATATTGGTTTGGAATTTTGCCTCCTTTTTTTCATGTAGAAAATGAGAAGGCTTGGGGACCAGCAGGTGGCATGGTGGTTAAGGCTCTGGACACTCCCACATGGCCAACCACGGTTCAAGTCCTGGACCTGGTGGCTTGCTTTCTCACTTTCTCTCTCTCTCTCTCTTTCTCTGTCTCTCTCTGGTCAAATTAAAATAAATGAATGAATAAATAAAATTAAAAATAAATAATTACTAAAAAAAAAAAGAAAAGAAAATGAGAAGGCTTCACTCATTGTTCACTTAGAGCTCTTTAGCCCCAAGTATAAGAAGTCATTGAGAAAATAGCTCATGGCGTTTTTAATATGAAATTATTATTATAAGTAAATCTTTGTTTATTCTGGTATTTATCTCTAGGAAAGAAGCCGTAAGTCTTATCTTATCTGACCAAAGTTAGAGATCATTTTGAACACCCATTAATGTCTTGGTGTTTATTTGTACCATTTGCACTGAAATAAATACCTCTAACTTACATAAATTCATCTTTCCGTTCATGTTCCTGCTTTCTCTCTTCATACCCTTGATGGAAAAAGCAACCTTGCAGGCCAGACTGAATCTATTTACAACACTTTGTAATTTCAAAGTGAGAGAAATAAATATATTTCTGGTATTTTTAGTTCTCCCTTGTAGATTATACTTTGACCTTTGGCCTTTGTCCCAAGACAAAGCCTGGAGAGAAAAGGTTCAATGACCTTGAATATTATTGTTTTATTTTTAGAGTTCTTGATATAAAACTATTGTTTATCCCTTTGGGTACATGACAAAAAAAAATAACAGTTTAAAACAGCAAATTTGGGGACCAGCAGTTAGTGTAATGGCTATGTCGCTGGACTCCCATGTAGTCGACCACGGTTCACGTCCTGGACCCGGTGGCTTAAAACTCACACCGGGCGCGTGTGCGTGTGTGCCCAAGATCCCGAGGGGAGAATGGAGGAGAAGGGATGGTAGCGTGGAGGGCTGATTTCTCGCTTTCTGTCTCTCTGTCTCTCTCTGTCTGTCTGGCGAGCCCACGTGCCCGATAGCAAAAACCTCTCAAAAAACAAAGCCGTAAGTCTTATCTTATCTGACCAAAGTTAGAGATCATTTTGAACACCCATTAATGTCTTGGTGTTTATTTGTACCATTTGCACTGAAATAAATACCTCTAACTTACATAAATTCATCTTTCCGTTCATGTTCCTGCTTTCTCTCTTCATACCCTTGATGGAAAAAGCAACCTTGCAGGCCAGACTGAATCTATTTACAACACTTTGTAATTTCAAAGTGAGAGAAATAAATATATTTCTGGTATTTTTAGTTCTCCCTTGTAGATTATACTTTGACCTTTGGCCTTTGTCCCAAGACAAAGCCTGGAGAGAAAAGGTTCAATGACCTTGAATATTATTGTTTTATTTTTAGAGTTCTTGATATAAAACTATTGTTTATCCCTTTGGGTACATGACAAAAAAAAATAACAGTTTAAAACAGCAAATTTGGGGACCAGCAGTTAGTGTAATGGCTATGTCGCTGGACTCCCATGTAGTCGACCACGGTTCACGTCCTGGACCCGGTGGCTTAAAACTCACACCGGGCGCGTGTGCGTGTGTGCCCAAGATCCCGAGGGGAGAATGGAGGAGAAGGGATGGTAGCGTGGAGGGCTGATTTCTCGCTTTCTGTCTCTCTGTCTCTCTCTGTCTGTCTGGCGAGCCCACGTGCCCGATAGCAAAAACCTCTCAAAAAACAAAAACAAAAACAAAAAAGCCAGCGAATTTGAAAAAGCTCTCCCCTCTCCCTGGTATCTATGCCAGTTTTATCTTCATCTTGTTACGTCATTGGGAAAGCCATGACGTTATTTTCCTATGTTTTTCTGTTGGGTCGACATTCCAGATGACCCAATGCTTCTTGGATTTATTTGTTCACTTTAGCTAATATGGAAAAAAAAAATCAATATTTTCCCTGTGGGGTTTAATGAAGGCTAATACTACTGGGCTTCAGCAGATTTGCAGAAGAGAGAGGCATTTTCTCTCTGCTCCTGTTTCTTGAAAATTAACTCCTAAGTCTTAAGAAAATATTACTCTAGCAAACTTAGAAACCAGTTGCACTGACTGGTGCAAATATTGACCTCCATCCTCCTGCCTCGTCCAACAGCTTCTGAGGATCTGTACAAGGACTTCCTGACCTTGGAGCATCTCATCTGCTACAGCTTCCAGGTGGCTAAGGGCATGGAGTTCTTGGCATCGCGCAAGGTAAGCAGGTCAGGGGGAATCAATTGTCTCTTCAGATTCAGGTTTGGAAATAAGACTTCCAGTGCCAACCCAGTGGTATTTGTTTGGGAGTGTAATTTATGCACCCCTTTTAGGACTCTTGAAAGAGGTCTCTTGGGGAGGCTCTGTTTCTGCTACTTAAGTATGGTTAAGATTTCACGAAATTCATTTGTAGAATACTTACTGACTATCCGTTAAGTGCTAGGCAGTCTTCTGAGCTCTGAAGATGCTGTGGTGAACAACAGGAGAAAATCTCTTTCATGGAATTTACATTCTGGGAGGGGGGGCGAAACGGTGAACAGTGCTGACAAGTACAATTTGTAGTAGGTTAGATGCGAGTCAGTGCTATGGGGAAAAGTAAAGAGGGCGAGGTATAAGCGAGTGCAGAGGTGGTATATTTGTGGGTGCACATGCTCTGTGTGTGTGTGAATTTTAAACAAGGCGAATGAAGAAGGCTTCCCTAAGAAGGTGGCATTTGAGCAAAGACTCAAGAAGGGCGGGGGACGGAGCCTTGCCAATATCTTTGTGTAGAGTCTATTTTGTTTTACATTCATCATCATCTATCAAAAAGTGTTTGTTAGTGGTATAATTAGAAGCCAGGAAGGATGGGCTTCAGATGAGAGCGATTAAAGATCTAAAATTAGAAAAGTAGGCCAAACAAAGGCTGAGGTGGGGACGTGACAACTTACAAATATTCCAAAGGTTGTAAACACCGCGGTGGAAATGAGGTTGGTGGGTTACCCCTCTGGAAAGGGCAAAGTGCATTCCTCTACATTAAACAAGAAATTCGAGATTAAGGTTCAGGAAAAACTACTAGTTGTTAAAATATATTTGCTGCAGCCTATTGGGGGAAGGAAAGACGTAAGGTTTTCTTGTGTTGTTTTGTTTTCTAAGTTAAAGTGAAATCACCAACACATTTTTTTTCCCCCTAAAGTTTAAAGTTTCTCAGAATCTGGGATGTTTATTCTGCATCATCGTTCTTGGGTTTTCTCTTTCAAAGGGAAGGGAGAGAGCTCAAATCTTCACAGGATTTTCCCAAAGAAAAGCCCCTTGCCCTTCTTGGAGATTAGGATGTATTATTATTTTAAGTCCAGAGTTCACCATTTAGACATGGTTCCTTTCGTGATTGGGAAGGGAATGGGTGTGGAGGTGAGAAGGCTGGAGAGCTGAGGGGGGGTGAGACTCTTTTAACTTTCTATAAATGAATTGGAGAGGTTTTTTTTTGCTATAGGGCGTGTGCACTCACCAGAAAGACAGAGAGAGACAGAGAGACAGAAAGCGAGAACTCACCCCACCCCCCTCCCCGGGGGATGGCCACACTGCAATCCCTTCTCCTCCACTCTCCTCTCAGGATCTTGGGCATGCACGCACACGTGCCTGGCGTGAGTTTAAGCCACCGGGTCCAGGACTCGAACCATGGTCGACTACCTGGGAGTCCAGCGACACAGCCATTGCACTAACTGCTGGTCCCTCCTTTAACTTTCTTTATGTCTTCCAGGTGATTTCTTGACTATCACCTGGTTGTTACACACAAAAAAGAAACCCTTTGCTTAGGGGGAGGAACGTAGCCTGGCCTCGCTCAATCATGCTAGAGAGTGGGCGTCTGAATACGCCTTGTTCAGGGGACAGTGGTAGCAGGCTCACCATGCTGGGTAGGGGTTGGGTGGTGGTGGGGAATGTCTGCCTCATGTGATCATTCCCACGCTGACTTGAGAATTCTCATCCAAGCCTTTCAAATTCCTTTCTATTTTTAATGCTCCCCAGAGAACTCTCGTTCTCTCACAAATTTTCCACGTGGAGTTGAAGGTGCCTAATAGAAGGAAGTCAGATGAAATTAGAGAAGGATATAGAAGAAGAAGACACAGGAGCCAGCAGGTGGCCTGGTGATTAAGGCACGGGACTCCCACATGGCTGACCATCGTTTGAGTCCTGGCCCTTATGGCTTGGTTTCTTACTTTCTCTCTCTCTTTCTGTTTCTCTCTGATGAGCACCCATGCCCTATAGCAAATTAAAAAAAAATAATAATAAACACAAATTTTTAAATAAATAAATAAAATAAGAAGGGGAAACGGAGGAGCTACCAAGAATAGAAGGAAAGCCAAGTGAATTCTGTTTTATTTTCTAGTACGCTAGAAAATACACCTGACTCACCATAGGCTGAAATTGTTCTATAGACCTTTATGATAAACTTTTTAAAAACAGGATATGCCCCACTGGGAATTATTTGTCTAACCTAGTCCCATTTATCCCACTTCAGTCCCATACAGAATGGGGAAGGGGCCAAAGAACACCAAACCTTGTTTCTGGTTTCCGTGCATTCATTCAGAATAAACCTCATTCTGGGTCCTCGTTAGAATAAGACGTTTTTAACCATAGGTGGTGTCAGGCCAAAGGGATGTGTGGATGTGACCAGAAACACGTTTTGAATTGTGTCCTAGAGAAGTCTATTTATGACTCTGTCATCATACTATAACTTAATTATTTACCTCCCAACACTGGGGCTGTTTATGGAATAAACAGATGTGTGTCTCAACGAAACTCAGAGACTTTCTTCCTGAAGTGTTGAAAAAAGACACTCACCGGTCCCTGCTAATCAGCTGGTTGTAAAAGCTAACTAGTACACATTCTTTTTGTCCATTTTTATTTGTATCTGAATTTTCTGTGGAAAAATACATACCTTTATAAAATAATCAAGTAAACAAATAATATTTGAGCAATTCACTTTTTTAATCTTAATAACACTTGAGTTTCTTTTACATCTGACTCTCAAAGGATCAAAGGCTCCAGGACAGACAGGTAAATACTTGATATAATTTTTTATCTATTTGCCATACTTGTCACCTTAGGTCAGTTGAAAATTGAAGGAAAAAAATAAAGTTATATTTGTCTTCATTAATTTTTCACAGATACTAAAAACAACTGTACTTCAAAATGCTAAAATCATTTATTTACCCAGTCAGCTGTATGTGCTGATCATTAAAGAATGCAGGCAAGCCAGATAACATCATTTTCATCCAATTCGTCCAAATACAAGAATAATTAGATTGGGGGAGGAGGGAGAGGGAAGGATTCTCATTTGCTTCTGTAATCAGCATAACAAATAAATATAGTGAATAACAATAATACATTGAAGAAGGATTGCAAGAAAATGCAACGCTAGTGAGATATGCTATTAGCAATCTTAAACTCTTGAAGGAATTATTTTGCTTAGATATTTGCATGTCAACTTTTCCTTTAAAAACTTCAGAACTTTTGTTTATGTAGTTCATATTTGCTAAGAAATAAAAGTTTCAATTTTTCATTTTACGTAGTAGCACTTCTCTTCTGACTCAAAAAAGTTCCAATCACCCTAGTAGCAGTAATGATGACATTTTACTATGGTACAGAAATGCAAAAGGTAACTTTATCCATCATTATATCAATGATAATACGACATGCACAACAGATATGGCTACCATTAACAATGGATTCAGCGGGGTCAGCAGGTGGCATGGTGGTTGGGGGCACTGGACTCCCACATTGCTGACCATGGTTTGGGTCCTGGACCTGGTGGCTTTCTCTCCCTCTCTCTAAATAAATAAATAAAGCTAAATAAATAATTATTTTTTTTAAAATGGCTTCAGCAATCTGTGTTTCACCATTCCATATCATATTCCAGTGAGGAGTGGACAAATAGCGTCGTCCGTCCTGCTCTAAAATTTGGAGCATAACCTTCTTCTATGAGACAGGCAGTAGCAGGTAATCAGTGGTGAAGGAAAGATAGTCCACAGACATATATAAATAGAAATCTTTATCTTCCTAAAGGAAATCATCCTGGATATTAAAAATAAAAAGAATGTTCAGATTTGGGTTTTTCACATGTTTTCCTTTAAGCAAAGCTTTCCTACTGGTTAATGAAACAGCTAGAAGTTTGTATAATTTACAACTATGTAAGTTAAAGTACATATGTAAAATGGAAAATCAAAACAGATCTATGTTTTTCTTTTTAAAAAAATCCAAATGTTGACTTTTAAAATTATTTATTTATTTTTTATTATCATCATAATCTTGTTTATATTACACTGGATTGCATATAACTTTACAGTGTATTACATTGCTTTTTCAAAGGGAATGCCATGCATGTTGCAAGGCCAATGGACCCCGCCCTGCCCCCTTGCGGAGATTGGAGGGCACCTGGGATCTCCCACTTATTCTACACCTCTCATGTCTCTTCGGCGTGCCAGACTAAAATCAAGCTCAACGGGGTCTTATTTCCCTGCTGATTCCACCAAGCCCATTCCCTTGGCTGTGGTTTTGCTGGATAGTAGGTAGGGACAGTAGGAATCTCGTTCATCCATTCATGCGCATCACTAATTAGATGACAAGGCATTTGGCTAACTTAAGAGAGTCATAGTTACTCCTGCCATTTACCTGCGCTTCATTGAATTTCGTCACTTTGACATTCAGAGCACTGGACAGAAATCATATCGCGTCAACCCCCACCGCTGGCCTTCTAGACAAATGTTGAATTTTAAAGTACCTTTCATGGGTGGCAATGAATGATAATGAATGTGTATCATTTTGCCATTAAGTGCAAAGAATTGTACACAGTGAGAGAGATTCTTGGAGCATGGTGAGCTGAATATGTCCCCTTTGCCTTCAGTTATGATCTCCTGGCTTCTCCTGCCTATCAACCAAACTATTTACTTTTGCTAAAAATTCACCAAATAGAACTTATGACCAACTGATTCTTTTTGTTTGTTTGTTTGTTTGTTTTGAGAGATTTTTTTCTAGAGGGCACGTGTGCTTGCCAGAAAAACAGAGAGAGACAGAGAGACAGAAAGCGAGAAATCACCCCCCCAGGGGGGGATGGCCATACCACAATCCCTTCTCCTCCATTCTCCTCTCGGGATCTTGGGCACGCACGCACATGCGCCTAGTGTGAGTTTAAACCATCAGGTCAGGGACTCAACCCATGGTCAACTGCATGGGAGTCCAGTGACATAGCCATTATGCCAACTGCTGGTCCCCTGACCAACTGATTCTGCTGGTATCTGGATGTATTCATTTGCAGAGGGCTTACATAACAAAGTATCACCGACTAGGTAGCTTAAACACTAGAAAATTATTTGTCCACAATTTTGGCAGCTAGACGTCCAAAGTCAAGCTGTCAGTAGAGTTGTTTCTTCCTAGGAACTTTCTTTAGTACAACTGTGTCTTCATATGGTTTTCTTTCTGTGGATGTCTGTATCACACACTTCTCTTCCTATAAGGATGCCATTATAATGGATAAAACTAAATTAGTGGAGGTGAGATTGAACTGCTCTTGCACCTCAGAATGTGCAGAGACTAGGTCACAGAGGACCGACTAAGCCTGGTCACAACGTGGCTCTAGTCCCTTGTCTTTTGACCTATGTAGGATTCTTTCATTAGGCATATCTCAATAACCACAGAGTAGCTCTAGGAGAAACAAGATAAGTGGAGTAATCAGATATGCTGCAGCCTATTGGGGGAAGGAAAGACGTAAGGTTTTCTTGTGTTGTTTTGTTTTCTAAGTTAAAGTGAAATCACCAACACATTTTTTTTCCCCCTAAAGTTTAAAGTTTCTCAGAATCTGGGATGTTTATTCTGCATCATCGTTCTTGGGTTTTCTCTTTCAAAGGGAAGGGAGAGAGCTCAAATCTTCACAGGATTTTCCCAAAGAAAAGCCCCTTGCCCTTCTTGGAGATTAGGATGTATTATTATTTTAAGTCCAGAGTTCACCATTTAGACATGGTTCCTTTCGTGATTGGGAAGGGAATGGGTGTGGAGGTGAGAAGGCTGGAGAGCTGAGGGGGGGTGAGACTCTTTTAACTTTCTTTCTTTTTTTTGGAGAGGTTTTTTTTTGCTATAGGGCGTGTGCACTCACCAGAAAGACAGAGAGAGACAGAGAGACAGAAAGCGAGAAATCACCCCACCCCCCTCCCCGGGGGATGGCCACACTGCAATCCCTTCTCCTCCACTCTCCTCTCAGGATCTTGGGCATGCACGCACACGTGCCTGGCGTGAGTTTAAGCCACCGGGTCCAGGACTCGAACCATGGTCGACTACCTGGGAGTCCAGCGACACAGCCATTGCACTAACTGCTGGTCCCTCCTTTAACTTTCTTTATGTCTTCCAGGTGATTTCTTGACTATCACCTGGTTGTTACACACAAAAAAGAAACCCTTTGCTTAGGGGGAGGAACGTAGCCTGGCCTCGCTCAATCATGCTAGAGAGTGGGCGTCTGAATACGCCTTGTTCAGGGGACAGTGGTAGCAGGCTCACCATGCTGGGTAGGGGTTGGGTGGTGGTGGGGAATGTCTGCCTCATGTGATCATTCCCACGCTGACTTGAGAATTCTCATCCAAGCCTTTCAAATTCCTTTCTATTTTTAATGCTCCCCAGAGAACTCTCGTTCTCTCACAAATTTTCCACGTGGAGTTGAAGGTGCCTAATAGAAGGAAGTCAGATGAAATTAGAGAAGGATATAGAAGAAGAAGACACAGGAGCCAGCAGGTGGCCTGGTGATTAAGGCACGGGACTCCCACATGGCTGACCATCGTTTGAGTCCTGGCCCTTATGGCTTGGTTTCTTACTTTCTCTCTCTCTTTCTGTTTCTCTCTGATGAGCACCCATGCCCTATAGCAAATTAAAAAAAAATAATAATAAACACAAATTTTTAAATAAATAAATAAAATAAGAAGGGGAAACGGAGGAGCTACCAAGAATAGAAGGAAAGCCAAGTGAATTCTGTTTTATTTTCTAGTACGCTAGAAAATACACCTGACTCACCATAGGCTGAAATTGTTCTATAGACCTTTATGATAAACTTTTTAAAAACAGGATATGCCCCACTGGGAATTATTTGTCTAACCTAGTCCCATTTATCCCACTTCAGTCCCATACAGAATGGGGAAGGGGCCAAAGAACACCAAACCTTGTTTCTGGTTTCCGTGCATTCATTCAGAATAAACCTCATTCTGGGTCCTCGTTAGAATAAGACGTTTTTAACCATAGGTGGTGTCAGGCCAAAGGGATGTGTGGATGTGACCAGAAACACGTTTTGAATTGTGTCCTAGAGAAGTCTATTTATGACTCTGTCATCATACTATAACTTAATTATTTACCTCCCAACACTGGGGCTGTTTATGGAATAAACAGATGTGTGTCTCAACGAAACTCAGAGACTTTCTTCCTGAAGTGTTGAAAAAAGACACTCACCGGTCCCTGCTAATCAGCTGGTTGTCTGATGTGGGATTGTTTTGAAGCATGAGGTCACAACAGCTGTAGAAGACTCCGCTGGCCAACACCTAATGCACACGGTTCTCTTTGCAGTGTATCCATAGGGACCTGGCGGCACGGAATATCCTCTTGTCGGAGAAGAACGTGGTTAAAATCTGTGACTTCGGCTTGGCCCGGGATATTTATAAAGACCCAGATTATGTCAGAAAAGGAGATGTAAGTTGCAAAAATCAATCCGGCGCTCTAGTAAGTTGCAGAATTCAAACTCCTCGTAGCAAGCTTCAGGACCTGGGTTCAGGAACAAATGAAGTTGTTTTCTTCTGATATCTGCCAATCTGGGTTCTGATGGTTTGTCTTCTACCCTCTTAGGCTCGTCTCCCTTTGAAATGGATGGCCCCAGAAACAATTTTTGACAGAGTGTACACAATTCAGAGTGATGTGTGGTCTTTCGGTGTTTTGCTCTGGGAAATATTTTCCTTAGGTAAGCCTCTTACTCCTCTCCCTCCATCCAGACTCCAAATAATAATGTTGGTAGCCAGCCCCCCAACATGTCTTTTTCTTGTCTATATTTGACCTTTATCAGATGAAACTTCTTAAAAGTTTAAAATGGTACAGTATCTAAAAACCAAACCAAACCAAACCCAAATTTGATCAAAGATAAATGGACCAGGAAGATGTGTAAGAATTAGGCTCAGGGATTTCTACCAGAGAAACGTCAAGACATTTTTCCTTCTTGCCTTATTTTAGGTGCTTCTCCATATCCTGGAGTAAAGATTGATGAGGAATTTTGTAGGCGATTGAAAGAAGGAACTAGAATGAGGGCCCCGGATTATACCACACCAGAAATGTAAGACTTGAAGAAGTGTCTTCTGCTCTTTTCCTTGTTCACAAACTCTCTCCTCATTCTGTTTGTCTGTCTATGGCCATCTGTCTGCCTATCTAATCTATCATCTATCCATATTATCATCTGTCATCTCCCTGCCTCCATCAAGGTTCAGTTTGTGTCGTCCTTCTCGCTCGTACCTCTACTTGATAATGTCAAACACAGAGTCCTCGCTTCTTGAAACCACAGCACCTTCTTTTCCATACTCGCCAGTCGGTTCTTCTTAGCTGTTGATTTGTGATGCTTTCTTCTCGATATACACTTTGCATCTGAGGGCGGAGCTCCGTGTCTTATGCCGTCTTGTAGCTCTATTTAGCATCTTGAATCGTGGTGGAGTCTTTATGAACATTTACCCACTCCAGTGCTTATTTTCAGCATCAGATGCAGGTGGAAAGAGGTACTTAATGATGTCGTGTTCTGCTTTTCTAGGTACCAGACCATGCTTGACTGCTGGCACGGGGAACCCAGCCAGAGACCCACATTTTCAGAGTTGGTGGAACATCTGGGAAACCTGTTACAAGCTAATGCCCAGCAGGTACGTCAGCTCCATCCGAGACACTTGTGCAGAAAGTACCTAGTTGTCAAGGACTCTCCTACTGCCATCCACTCAACCACCGAATAACAAGACATAGTCTTCCAGCGCTGAGCAACTGCTTTCCTAAAAGCCATAATTACCCCCAAAGGCAAATGAGACGCTGATTCCCAACCTGGGAGCAAACCACTCCTACTCCTTCCTGCTTCTCTTTCCGTTACAATTTCAAATGCTCTTTAAATTAAAAACAACAACAACAACAACAAAAACAAAAAACAAAAAACAAAAAACAAAACAAAAAAACAACTGGGGTGGGCAGGTGGCATGGTGGTTAAGGGCACTGGACTCCCACGTGACCAACCATGGTTTGAGTCTTGGACCTGGTGGCTTGCTTTCTCACTTTCCATCTCTCTTGCTCTCCTTCACTCTGTCTCTCTCTAGTCAAATTAAAATAAATAAATTAATTTAAAAATTAAATAAAATAATTTTTTTGTTGGAGAGGTTTTTGCTATAGGGCGCATGTTGGGCATGCACGCACACGCGGCCAGCATGAGTTTAAGCCACCAAGTCTGGGACTCGAACCATGGTTGACTACAGGGGAGTTCAGCAACATAGCCATTACGCTAAGTGCTGGCCCCCTGCCATTTCTTTGTCTTGATTAACGTTCAACTGCACAGCCTTTTTTCAGAAGACCTGTTTTCCTGCCCAGTTATTGCTTTTCCTAGACTCGTTAATTTTTCCCTTGCCTTGAAATGTAAAGGTTAAACATGGCCACCATGCCCTTTGGGGGGCAGACAGGGCTTTGTGTCAACATAATTTCTCAGCTCCGTGTCGCTCTTTGTGTTCGGTTGTTACACCTGTGACCACAGCCTGCTGTGTTTTCATGGTGACCACAGGTCTCTGTGGTCCCCTTATGCATCTTGTTTTCAGTATACCTCCATTCACGCACCCCTTTCACATGTCCTTCTGTATTTGACAGCTGAGTTCGACTGTCTTGAATGTCTGTGTTCTAGAGTGAAAGCAACGTGCTCCACAGCCACGAAGTCCCCGTGGCCTTTATCCTGAAAAGACTGTTGAAGGACTGAAGCCATAACAATAGCATTCTGTGTTTATTGTTTCAGGATGGCAAAGACTACATTGTTCTTCCTATATCAGAGACTTTGAGCATGGAAGAGGATTCTGGACTCTCTCTGCCTACCTCACCTGTTTCCTGTATGGAAGAAGAGGAAGTGTGTGACCCCAAATTCCATTATGACAACACAGCAGGCATCAGGTACTGTACGTATGTGACCAGCATGCCCTCTGGGGGCTTCAGCCATCTCAGAGAGGGGGAGTGGGAGTAAGACATTTTGTAAGGCTGCCACATCCCACTTCCACGTTTATCTTTAGCCCTGAGGCTCTTCCACATGGGAATGCTCCTTGCAGAGGGTCTGGGTAGGTGAGTTCCCTCCATCTGTCGCCCATGTTGTTGCCACAGCTCTTCCATCAAGAATTCTAAGCCCTGCAGCTGCAAATAGCTGGAATGCCATCGTCTGTTAATCTCCAGAAAAAGAGACCAATTTTACAGAGACATCTGCATTTAAATGATCCCCATGTATGCTTTTATTAATGTGAATTAAATGGCTTAGGAAAGATTCAGGAAGGAAGTGTCCTGGGCATATATGAAAACACACTTACGGCTCTCTGGCGAGGATACGGAAGGCCATGGGCTGTGTCCTGAATTAGACTGGACACCACATCTCTGAAGCCCCTCTGGAGTCTGATTTTCAGCATTTTATTTGCATAATGGGACATCTGAGCTTATTTAAAACACATGCACTGCAGTCCTTTCTAATTTAGAAGGGGTTCGAAGGCAGTTTTCTTTTCTCCTCTCTGCTAGCACCTGTGCAGAGGAAAGCGTGATTGTAAAATGGCCTCCATTAAGCTTGGCACCACTTCACTCTGCTCTGTCTCTTTCCCAACCCTTTTGAGTGTTTTCCTCCTTTCACTGGAACCCCTGATGGCATGAGCCCAGCCTGCTGCCCTGAGTGTGCCTGAGTGGCCACAGGGAGGGGCAAGGAGCTCTCTCCTGTGTCTGGAACTTGGCCAGGTGGCCACGTTTCCGTGATGCTGCAGAGGCCCTGTGGAGTTTGCCCACAGGAATCGTGCAGGGCAGCAGGACCTGTGATGAGACAAGAGGCGAGCACGGAGTGGCTGGAAGCCAAGTGAGCTGACCATCCCACTGCCGGCAAGAGCATTTGGCATTTTTTAAAGACCTTTTCCACATAGGATCAGATTTTCGCCCACAAAGCCCTCTGATTTAGGCAAGGTGGAAACTGCTGTCTTTTTTTGTTGTTGTTATTGTTGCAGAAGCTGACCATGAGGCTCAGCTCGATGACCTGAGGCAGTACGACCTTGTGGTTAAACATGCAGGTGTTAGGGTCAGATAGGACTAGGTGGGCTTGCCCTCTCCATAGCAGTGAGTGGACCCAGATTCCCCAGCCTCCCCCTCTGTTTCCTTGTGTAACTGGTGTGGTTTGAAAATGACTATGGTATGACATCATGTATTTCTAAGTGCCTGGCACTTGAAAGCACTCAACAAAGAATAGCCATGAAGTGAGCAGTTTAGAATCATGTCCTTGAGAGGAACCCAGGTCTTCGGCATACTGAGTCAATGCTGTTTCCTCCCGGGCAAGAACGGGCCGTCCGGGAGTGTGAAATGGACTAGAATTTCACTCCTGTGCTCGTGAGCCCCTTGTGCAAGCTCCTGTCTTCTAGTGTAATCCTTGTTCCTGCAACACTCATATGGCCTGTCCTTTCACAGAAAGCCATGTGAGCTGAATCCTATTCCCTGAGTTTGCTGTGACCAAGCAGAGTGAGGACCCACGCCGGCAGCCTCTTGGCTCGCTTAGGTGCTTTGCATATGGTGCTGGGCAGGGAATGAAGTCATGCATGTGTAATGGAAGTGCCAAATACGATGCTGCATCTAAAAAAAAGGACTGTTAGCATTTATCCCCAGAAGCGTGGACAACTGTGACACCACAGCCCCCGACACAGGCCTGGCTTTGATTTTCTGGCTGTGATTTTTGAATTGGTCTTTCCAGTCCAGTTTCTCTTTTATCCAGCCATAATTTGGAAGCTAGAATGGAAATTGGAATCTTTTGTCTGTGTCCCCTTTCCAATCCCTTCCACCGATTCCTTTTTATTAAAAATAAGACTCGAGGTTACGATTCAATCACCCGGGTTCCAAGGAAGGCGGAATAGAGGCATCTGTTCTCGGCACACCTCATTCTGGTGTTGTCTTAGGGCTCTGCTGCTCGGGGGGAATGAGACGAGGCCGGGGTACCTCTCGGGGGACTTGTCTGACCCTCTTGCACATTTCCAGCTGAGCAGAAAAGCAGAGGCGTCTTTCTCACTTACTTCTCCCTTATAATTTTCAATCCCAGTGCATCATAAATAGGGCTGGACAGACACATCACTGTGGGAGCTTGCCTTGTGATTTGTTGCCCTTGAAACTATTTTAAAAATATTTGTTCAGCATTTCTTTAGAGAAGAGGCTGAGGAGTGTGCGGGGGGGAAGGACCACTTATGTCTAGACTTAGCTTGGTCTCTAATTTCCCCTGTGGATCAGCGCAGCCCCAGTGTGCATGCTTTCTGCAAGACAACACAGGGGGGGGAAGCGCAGCCCCAGTGTGCATGCTTTCTGCAATTCAACACAGGGGGGAAAAAAAAAAACCCTAAAAAAACAACAAAAAAAAAATCCCGAGAAAACTCGTTTTTCTTTGAGGGCAGTTTGAGGACTATCTTCGGTGGCTCTGCCATTTCCTCAGGGAGTTTCACCTTCCATCCCAAGCAGCTTATCAAAAATTTCTTTGTAATTGTCTCCCAGAGAAAGATTTTGGTACATACCACTTTATTTTCAGATAGGTTAATTGCTAGTGATGGTTAATGCCCCTTATGGATGGATGCCCGAGGCAGCCCACTGGCTAGATGTTTTTGAATTTGGCTCTGATATTAGATCACTTGAAATGGACTGTCCTTTGGCCTTTTGCAGTGCACACTCACCACCCCTACTCCCAGCCCACCGCTCGGTCAGCATACACGGCAGTGCCTACGCATGGACTTACTAAAGACTTGAACAATTGCGTCTGCCGCTTCTCTTTGTCCTTTTCCTTCCTGATTCTTTTCTAAGGGAGTCAGTGTGAAGTAGAGTAAACAGAAACCCTGCATGGACTTTGGAGTCTGAAGATCTAAGTTTGAGTCCCGGTTCTGGTCTTTACAAGCCATTTTCTTCCTAAAACTTGGCTTCCTCATCTCCACAAGGGGAATAATAAAAAGAACTCTTTCATAGCTTTGTGAGGAGCAGAGGCAGCAGTATCTGTGAAAACGCTTTGTCTCTCCTGAAGGAGAAGGGCCATAGCATTTTTTTTTTTTCAGTTTTGGGGCTCAGAATTCAAGGAACCGTCTTCTCTAAGGTGGCTGCATTATTGCAGGTCTCTGCTCTAGTTCACTGGATCTCCCCAGATGTTTCTGGGATCCACCCACTTCTTCAAACCCCAGGGGCATTCTCTTTCATTAACAGGCCGCCCTTCTTTCTCCTGGATAAGTGGGATATCTCCCGAATCGTTCTCTTGTTCTCTCGGTCTCTGGTCTTACCTTTCTCAGTCTCGAGTCAGCTTCCTAAAGGGCATACCTGCCCTTGTCAGTCACACGCATGAAATTCTGTAGTGGCTCCTCACTGTCCAGTAATAAACCCTACTATTCTAGTTATGTGATTATGGACAAGTTCCTAAAAAGTTGAGGTGATAATACCTCAAGATATGTTTAACTGTGACGATACCTTGAAATGAAGTGTGGAGAGCCTCTGGTCCAGTGCCTGACCCGTGACAGATTCTCAAGAAGGGGTTCCTGAATAAGCGAATGAATGAATGATCGTTTTTGGCCAGCACCACTTTTAGGAACAGGACTAAGGAGAGAGTGAGCTTACCCTGATTCTTGTATATCATGTTCCGAGGGAGGAGGTCACTGGTAAACGGCATTATTTCCCCTCTGTGAAGGAAAGAATCAGCCAGCCGGTGGAGAGGGGGGAGGCTCAGTTTCCATTCTCTTCCTTTGGCTCAAGGAGAATGTAACAGGTTCCAGAAGTCTGCTGGTTGCGGGAGACAGGCTGGGAAAGGAGTGAAGAGTGTATTTGCTACCCTCATGAGCTCTATGAGGAAGACATCCCTTCTCTCCGCTTGAGCTACACAAGACTTTGATAGGATCACCCAGACTCTTGCAAAACCATTTGGCAGAGAAGAGGCACCCCTTGGGAAGAGGTGGTTTATTGTCTGATGAACTTTATTCTTTGGGCTCCTGAAGAAAACTGACACCTTTTGGAATTCCAAAGGGAAAAATAAGCTTTAATCATAGAGCATTATTTTTCCTAAGAACACTAAGGTCAATATTTGCCATGTCACTCATCTCCTCCAAATCTCCCCCAAGCTAGTGAGGAATGCTGTTGCCAATACATTTTAAACATGGGGTGACTTGCATATTCATGTCTTCCTTGAGTTTGTAGAGTCAGTGGTAGTAGACTCTGAAATAATCAGAATATCTATGACTCTCAAAACACTGCTCTTCCCTGAAGTGGGCAGCTTGAGGGGCTAAAAATTGGAGTCATGAGACTTAGCTCACTTTCCCCCCTACATACTAAGATTTTATTACATGTAGAAGAGAGGCGTTGTCTTCAGATCTCTTCTGGGTTCACTTTCCTTTAGGGAGACCTACAGGTGTTTCCTCTGTCCAGATTTTATTGAATGATTCCTCTTCAAGAATTATCTAGAAAAATGTTCCTAGGAGAGGGTCAGAAAGATGTGAACTGCTCAGTAATATATCTAGCGCTCAGTGGGGGAGTCATACACCATCAGGAAGCCAAGCAGAAGGCAACTGATAGTGGGGTGTGCTGTTTTTGTCTTGAATCCAGCTCTGGACCTCAGAAGTATGATTCAAAGGAACAGGGGCTCATCGAGGTCCCTCAGTTATATTATACTTTTAAATGGACTTTCACAGGAAATTAAGCTTTCAGTGTGTGCTAGCAGAGAAAGATTTAAAAAAAAAATTTTTTTTTCCAAAGGATGTTTTGAAGGTTGTTATTAAACTTGTGGTTGAAAGATAATGAACTTAGGTATCGCTTGTGGTATCTGCAGCCAAAGGCACCACCACTAAAATATAAATATTTGTTCTTTTGCAGTCAGTATCTGCAGAACAGTAAGCGAAAGAGCCGGCCTGTGAGTGTAAAAACATTTGAAGATATCCCATTGGAAGAACCAGAAGTAAAAGTAATCCCAGATGTAAGTACATCTTTTACAAATACGCTTAGAAATAATACAAAGGATGAAACACTAGCTAGGTAAATATTAGCCTAAGCATTAAAGTCTTGGCGCCCCATTATAAGGTTGTCTTTGAGGGGATATGTCATGGGGTCATGATGGAGATGAAACTTTGGTTTCTCCATAAGTAAACCCCTGGTCCAAGGTTCAAGGTAGTCTGGCTTTATGCCCAATATGGCTGAAATAAAAATAGTGTCCATGTGAAAAGAGGGATGGAAACAGGATCTTTTGCTGTGACTTTAGGAATTTTTTCTTCTCCCAGGCCAGGGTCTACTTCTAGAAGGTAGTTGCTTCCTTTTGTAGCTTGCTTGGTTTCTGGCTAACCTACCTTTACTGTCCTCTGAAGGGCACTGGAGCAAGGACATGGTCTGATAGGTGGGTTAAGAAATCGGTTTGCTTAACTGGCTAGTTAGTGTGTACTTTCAGTCAACTGTGCCATCTCATTTTCTCTTATAAAGGACAACCAGACGGACAGTGGTATGGTTCTTGC